ACCCGCGCTACACAACCCCGCACAACCCGACACATGAAGACCTCTCTGTGATGCACCGAGCTGAGACACTGGAAGCTGTGTTTGCCGATCCGTGTGTGTGTGTGTGCGCTGTTAGTTAGGAGTCTCTGTGACTACACGTTTGTCGTGTGATTACGGCCAAGTGTGAGGCAGATGCCGTGCTCTAATCTCTGCCCTATGGCCACGAAATGTGTACTTCAGCTCATCCACCGACAAAGCGTTTGGCCGAAGCTCCCTTTAAACCGATACCTACAAGCTGAATGGTGTTAGGTGATAAGAGGTGGATGTTTTGTGGACGCAGTTGGACACTGAGGTGCAGCCGCTCCTATTTAGATATAGTTAGAAGACTCAGGGACAGATTCCTAATGTGAAGTAGGTATATAGAGGATTAGCGGTTGAGCCTCTGCACAGCGGAGCCATTCAGCATAAGAATGTACACGGGTGGATACAGGGTATTATGTCAAACTAGTGCTTTGTTGACCAATCGAAAACAGTTTGTCGGGGATCCAAAGGAATGCAGCTGCAGCCACAGCTGGATGTACATGGGTTCTGTTTGTGTTGTCTCATTTTCCAAGGGTATACAGCTGAACAAACTGTGATTTACATTATGGCGTTGCTCATTCCAAGATGATGCAAAATCGGCTTTCTGCTGAGCAATTCTGCTGTTTTCCAGTGATGATACGTACAGTTTTTTTTCCCAAAATGACATATATGTGACAAAGAAATGCAAGAAAAATGTTGCTGTGTGAGCTGTCCTGCTGAATGTTCCCACTGAAAAACACCCTGTCTTAAGGGCGGCTGATGAGAAAAAGAAACACAAGGGACTTTCAAGGGAAATGTTGGTCTAAAACAAAAAAAAAAATGTCTTCACTCCCAGTGCTGCTAGTTTACTAAACCCCTCACTCCCTGTCTGCAAAGGAAAAGGTCACAAGGAAATCATGGCTGGGATGTGTGTCAGCACTACACATGAACGTTTTCTCTCTATCCTCAACCTTCCTCCCCTGCTCTCTTCCCCCTCTTCCTTCCAGACAGAGGAAGGCAGGACAGTCCTAAACATAGATTTTTTGTAAAACAGGAGACTGATCAAAGTCTGGACTGTTCCTTTACTGATTTTTACGGTCTACGGTTTCTCTTTAGTGCTGTGAATCTGCCTTACTGCGACCTTCAATGGGTTTATGTGCCTTCATCTAGAAACATTAGAGCAACATGTTTGTGGGTCTGTGTGTGTGTGTGTGTGCGTGTGTGTGAATGAGCGTTTGTGTTGTATCATACAGACAGACCTGTTGCTTGCTCCGTGGTAGAGATTTCTCATTGATTTCGTTTGGTTTAATGATGATTATGTAAAATAAAATGACTTTCTTCACTTTCAAATACTGGTGTTCAACTCTTTTAACTTGGCTCTCTTTGAATTTCACCTTTGACAACTAAGGGATCCGTTTTACTTCATTTTACATGAAAGAGTGGAGATTCAAAATTCAGAGCCCACTTGTTTTTCCTCCTGTGAACAGTTAGCATGCAGAGGCCACTGTGCACGCCCACTTGGACACACATCACTTGTCAGGAATGCAATCGTTATTGCACCATTATCTCTGTCACCTGTGTGACATCCTTATCTGAGACTACTCTTAGCGGAAAAACACAGTGTGTTTTTTTTCTTTCCTCCTTTTCCTACAAGCTAACCTATAAAGACCTAACACAGGCGTCAATGGTTTCCCATCCAGTTTCAATTGATGTGTCCGTTCTGGCTTATCGTAGCTCACATTTGTGTTTTCTTTGTAGTGATTTTTTTACATTTTACATACTTTAAAAAAAACTTAAAGGTATTTGCACTTTACCTGAGTATTTCAATTTTATGCAGCTTAACACATTTATTTGACCCGGAAGGTTACATGCTACTTTTAAAATATAGGGTTTTACATTTTACAACTGATTTAAAAGTTGGCAGATTAAACCAGTGGTTTTGCCAATTTCTGTTGGCATTTCACAAAAATCAATATGCAGTGTGAGTAAGATGAGCTATGAACAGCTCCAAAATTTTACCCCATCAAGTTCTGACTTGGTCTAATATAAAATCAAAACAAAAATTGGAAATTTGTTGACAGTTAGAAATATTATTAAAATTACAATATTTCCAGGTAGTGCATTGTGTGATCAGTTCAACTCCAAATGGTTATTTTTACTCTAACATCTGCTTTCCTCCTAAATATCCTGATAGACGACCCTGTACAGTGTTGCAATTACTAAAATGGGTGTATCACTTGGTGTTCCCCTTTCTTAGAGTTAATCTAATAGAATTGCAGATAAGCATTTTTTAAATAGGGCCGAACAATATTATCGCTGACTCACTATAATGAATGTATAAATTATTCTATCTGGAACTTGTCAAACCCCATTCACTCTCAAGGGTTGAGAAGACCTGTGATCTTTTGTCTCTCCTCCAATCAGTCTGAAGACACAATTGAGAAATTATTTCTAAAAAAATGTAAGAGTGTAGGTGACGTTTAGATAAAATAGTTAAAGGTTTGATGAGACAACTGGATTTCTGGTCTCTCAGGTTTACCTGCATACAGGAAAAAACAGATGGCACAGAAATCTGAATGAGCTGAACCTCCTGATCTCCTTTCATTGAGGCATTTCCATGTTTTGGGTGCTTACAGAAGCTTTGTTACATGGGCATTGATGAGATGGCAGAATAATGAACCTTGAATCATTAGTTTGATTACTTGTGGATTTCGGACCTCGCAAATGTCCTTGTTTTATTATGATAAGATTGATTTATTAGGCTTTTTATCACCTTAGTTACTCAAGGTAAATGGTAAATGCACTTATATAGTTTCTCAGAGTGTTGTTATAACTTTGATACAGTTTTTACTAAATTATTTTCTGGCTAACCCACTCAGTAAAGTTGTGAATACTGTAGCATGTAGGTTTGCCTATATATATATATATTTTTAAAAGACGATAAACAAACAATAGACAACCTATTGCAGTTCGAGCTCAAATTATATATAATGTCAGAGCCACTGTCTCAAATTTGAACGCAGATCAAAAGCTGTGTTTGATCTTAAGCATGGACTTTAACACCTCAGACCATTTTTAAAAGACGTCGAATGGTTACATCAAGGTTGAGAAATAATGAAATATCTAAGAAATCATGTTTTGTAATGGTCATTAATCATTAAATGGCTATTAAGATTAATGATTGACTTTGAATTGATTCAAAAGTGGACTTTTCTTTGAGGTAATAAAATCTGTTCTTGTATGTTCTATTCTTGGTTTTGTTGCATTTCAAAACAAAATTATCACATATATTTATTTAAATAAAAACCTGTTCAGATTTAACTGAACAATTCTGAACAATGCTTAGAATGGCTGAACTTCCGACAAAGTGCAGTACCAATGACAAAGCAGGCCTCTGTTCTACAGCTCTCTGAGGCTGTCCAGACAATCATTTCTAAGTTCGGGGTAGTGGCACAGTCAGCAGAGAATACAATTAGAATATTTCTGCAAAGTTTTACAGTCTGGGTGAGTTCATTAGACTCTCCCTTCACTGCCTTTTAATTATATCTCTTGCACTTAGCTGTACCAGAGCATTTTGAATGAGGTTCATTGGTTTGGAAAAATCTAATTCTCTCTCATCTTTATCAAGAATGAGCCAGGTAATACTGACCAGTGGAACAGTTGAGCTCCCTCTAATACTTCGAAGCTAGCAAAGCAGTAGCGTAAAGGATCCTGTCTGTTCATATCTGCCCATATCTACAGAAGTGTGAATATCACCAGACCTTTACCACTATAGTGAGAAGTGCAAACCTTAATGGGTACAGAAAAGGCATTTGTCCTTTGACTGTTAAGTCGTCAACTATAGTGAAGCTTTTACTTACAAATTTATAAAAAACACACCCGGCACAGGCACAAAACTTTAGACTCAACAGACAAAAGTCAGGTAAACCACAGAAGCTACAAGACCCCAGCTCAAGGCAAACCATAAAACGATATCTAAATCAGATAATGATCATGAGCCATAGGAGAAAAATGTTATTGGTACTCATTGAAGTAGACTGGCTGAAGTCTGATCAGGAAGCAAAAGGCGAGGGGGGCTCGCACCTCAGCAGTCTGAACATTACATATGTAACGTTTTTTGTCACGAAACTGTCAGTTACTGTCATTCTAAAGAGTCATTAAACATTTGGCTTTAACCTGATGGACATTGTGCAATTGGTTGTTAATCTGCACTTTAAAACACGTGCTGGTGGACTTTTGTCAGCTGGCAATACAGTCAAGGTCAGATTTCCAGTCATTAGCCTGCCTTTCACCGCGGACATAAATCACTCTGGTGTATCAGTAATAAGGAAGTTTACTTGTTAAGAGGTTTTTTAAAGGCACTTTAGAAGTCATGTGGTTCTACCGCAACGCCTCAGGTATGTTTCTGTAATATATAGTCTGATATTAACTCTTAAATTTCTCATGAAATGGCCATTTCTTCTATGCTAGTCAACCCATTAACTTTTCACTTTCAATAAACTGTCTTTAGAGTTATTTTATTAACCAGATATCACACTTAATGGTCCAATTTCTTATATCTATCTTTGACTGGATGTATCCTGATGCAAACATATTTGCAATTAAACAATTTTTTATATAATCTCCTGTTAGTCATACTTTTTCCCTTCTAGTCAGACACCTTACAAAGGCTCTACAACTTTTAAAATTTTCCAGCTTTACCACGGTGGATTTCATCTCGTAAGAACCCAAACCCGTGTTTCCCGGTACTTCATTCAAAGGGCCATAGGTCTGGGGAAACACTATTCACGGCCCCATAAAACGCAACCACAGAACAACATGTGCTGTTTCTCTGCACTTCAGACAATAATATTAGTAATCAATTCGCCAGAACTCAGGCAATGAGCACCTTTATCTCTCTCTTGCGGTTTATGACTCGGTTAATCGTTAAGCAACACCTTTGTGTCCCCTACGATGGAGCAAGGACATAACTGACACCCCCTCATCCAGTTTTCTGAAGGCTGGTCCAAAGAACTGGCCAATAGCTGACAGCCAATGGATGACCCTGAATATAAAGGCCGGCAAACCAAGTTCATGCTCAAGAAGCTCAAGACAGGAGAAGAAATCTCTGTTAGTTTACTCCTCGTCAAGTATTTACATGACTACACAAGGATAACCCAACCAGTTGATGCAGAGTTCTGCCCTTTTCAAGCACTCCTGGATGCCTGAAGACTTCAAAGCTACCCTGCTCTTCTATTGTTGACTGTTCAAAATCTGAGAATCCCCTCCAGCATTCACGATGGAGAGGGCGAACGGAGGGGCGCACATCAACTCTGCCTACGACGCCAACCTGGATGAGCCCCCCGTCTACGAGACCAACGAGGAGCATCGGACGGTCCGGCCCTCGGTGATCAGCGCCTTTGGTCATGACACTTTGGACCGAGTGCCCAACATTGACTTCTACCGAAATGCGGGCAGCGTGAGTGGTCATCGAGCTGTGCGGCCGTCCCTGCAGGAGCTCCACGACGTGTTCCAGAAGGTGAGTCCATAAATGTCCCAGCTATTGTCACGCACCCAAATGCCAACGTATGCTCTGTTTCAGTTCGTCCATAGTCTATTCTGTCTTTTATTATGTGTATATACACACCCATTGTGCATAAAGTAAATGCCTGACAACCTCCAGACTCTGTTCTGTTCTTGAGCCATGCAATTGATTCCAATAGGTTAGAAATGTATCATGGCAATATGAGGGTCTTTATTGCTTTTCACATCTGTAAGCCCTTAAAGGTAGACGTTTAGAAACTCATCACTCAAACTCAAGAGCAATTAAAACTTGACACAGTTAAAAGAGTTTACGGCTTGTTACTTAGCTGTATTAAAAAAAGGCTATAGGTCATTTCACTTTATGGATTTTCTTTCCCGAGTAGATGTAAAAAATGATGGATCCTTCACCACTTTTGCCAACAGGGAAAAATAGACTGCAAAATACAGATTACAAGGTTTAATTTAAATATGAAGAACTCTGTCGCCTTTCATCATCAGCATTTGTTCAAACTGATTTTTCATCTCAATCGAAATTAGTGAGTTATGTTGCAATGTGACAAAAATAATACAGCTTTATGTTTCAGAGAAGGCAGGATAAATTAAAAGATATTAAAACACCTTTTCTGTTTGCTCTAACTGTAAAATGCTCCTTTGACTGCAAAAATCCCAAAATGTATGTTTCCCCTTTTTTTAATGTTTTCTTTACTGTTCTCTTAAAAGAATGGGGCGATCTCTGTGCCGGAGACGGTGCAGGACGATGGAGAGACGAGCGAATGGACCCCGTCTGAGGATCTGGAGTCTGCCATTATCCCTGAGAAGGGAGGTGTGAAGTTTGGCTGGATCAGGGGAGTCCTGGTGAGTTACAGGGCTAATGGCAGGTTGTTTTTGAAGAACAGATCACTTTATATCACAGTGACCAGGCCTAAGTGGGGACTCTATATGTCAGCAGTGCTGCGGGCTTCTCTCTGATATCAAGCTTCCCGATACTTCCCGATAGTTTGGGAACTAGACACACAAGAAATTAGATAAATGAAAACTCTTGGAGATGTCTGTGCAATACTACAGTAAAGAAAAAGAGACATAGTCTATCATGAAGAGTCTGAAGCTGATTTGTTCTTCTCTTCTGGCAGGTGAGATGCATGCTAAACATCTGGGGTGTCATGCTGTTCATCCGTCTGTCCTGGGTTTTCGGACAAGCAGGCTGGGGTGAGTGAAGCTCAGCTCCACCAGCTTGTTTTTGAGCTGCATTATTGAAATTAAATTATGTTCTTTCCTCATTTCTTTTATTTCTATGCTAGTTTTATTTTACTCAAATAGCCGTCGGTTTTGGGGAGAAGGCTTCTGGTGGGATTTGTCACAATCAATCTTCGATCCTCCCAGTATTTGTTGTCAGTATACTGCTGTTACCAGTAAATACAGCAACTACAGACTATTACAGCATTACGCAGTCCTCGACTTATGAAAGGGGAGGACTTGAATTGGGCAGATTATCTTTAAACGGCTGTTCTGAGCTCCCATATCCTCGCTGTAGGTCTATTCTTAGTGTTTATCAGCTGAAATGTGTGAGAAAAGGGGACCTTGAGTGGTGCTCTAATGAGCACGTTCACTGCCTACAAATCTGTCCATCAACAGCAGCTTTTCTTCAGGCAAAATAGATAAAAGGGGTTGAAAAGCAAAGACAGTCACTGCAGTCAGCAGGTATTTCGTATGACTGTAACGGAGGGCCTGCAGGCTCCCCGAGGACTTCAAATCTTTAAATGTTTAAAGATAAAAGTGGGGAGGAAGTTTTCCTTTCACACATGGGGTTTTATGACTGACCACCTGAAAACGAAACGCAGGCAAAATGTGCTTGAAAATACTCAATTAAAGCTTTTATACTGTTGCTTTTCAGGTCTGGGAATTGTGGTCATTCTTCTCAGCTGTGTGGTCACCACTGTCACTGGCCTTTCCATGTCGGCCATTTGTACCAATGGTGTGGTAAGAGGAGGTAAGAGGTGTGGCTAACCCTAACCCTAACCCTAACCCTAACCCAACACGAGACAACTTAATGTTCAGAAACCTACAGAGTTGGCAAACTAATCAGAGCTGTTGACTGACCTGTCAAGCTGGTTTATCATTCATAATTTCTAAGCGGACCCAGCCAACAGTATCAGTTAAAACATTATTCATAAATTTTCCCTGAGATAAAAACAGACTAATTCTGACACAAAATCTTTTAGCCAGGGAACAAAATGACCCAAAGCTGCCCCTGAATGGCACCTCCTGATGCCTGCTCTGTTTTACAACATTCCTTGGCATTAAGTCAATCAATCAGGGACGTGGTGATTAATCATCCACCTCTCTTTGGATGGACACTGATGACATGATCGTCCATGTATCTGGCCAAATTCAACTTTCTGTTGCGGGGCGTCGACACAGCCTAATGCGTCCTGTGTAAATACCAATAAAAGAAAGCCAGTGTGTTTAATATCTATCAGCATCTAAATCATTAAATGCCAGAATAAGAGGTGTGCTCATTGAACAAGTAACTGAAGGAAATGCCTGCAGGATTCATTTAACAATCCAATTTTGTTTAATTTTACACTCAGCTGAATTGTAAAAGTCAATCAAAAATATATCTAAAAAAACATTTATGGAAAACACTCGGGCTGGTATTTAATTACAACTTTTTGCTTCACATAAAAAGATGGTCTCACATCTGTCATATTGTTTAACATCTGGCAACATGCCGATAAATTACACTGTTAAATAGCCACAAAGTGTTTCTATAATTGCCCATAAAAAAGTTTGGATAAAGATTTGAGATGTATGTTATTGAGAGTTTTCTGTGTCTCAGATATTTTCATTAAAAATAAATAGCTGGATATAACTGACTAAACTGCCATTTGGCCCATACTGTCTGATCATGGTTTATAGAGTTGATGCCCTATAAATTATATCATGCTGAATTGTGCTCTATGCTATATTTTATTAAGTCAGAAATACAGTGTTTATGGTTCAGAATGTATTGCTAATACGTTACAAACTAATTTTTTTTTATTGACATTCCCTTTCTTCAAAAAACATTTAATGCACAGGTACACTACTGATTACATTTAGAAAAACAGCCCAAATAAATTAATTAAAAATTGCAAAACTGTGACAACCGAAACTAATAATACCAATATTTCATTTCAATATTGTAAGTGAAATTAACAAGATAAGTTTCTTTCTATAATTTAGATTAAGTTGCTTCCACGTCTCTAAAAAGTAGCAGCAGAGAAGCTTTTTGATACTTCATTTACCATTTAGATATGACAATAATGACTTGTGCTTAATTTGTGTGTGTTTCATGCCATTTCAGGAGGGGCGTACTACTTGATATCTCGTAGCTTGGGACCGGAGTTTGGCGGGTCGATCGGCCTCATTTTTGCCTTCGCCAATGCAGTGGCAGTAGCCATGTATGTGGTGGGATTTGCTGAGACCGTGGTTGATTTGCTTAAGGTGCGTGGTGACACTGAAATGTGACATGGACTCATCTGAAAAGAGTTGGGCGCATCCTAACGTCCCGTTACCCCGTGGCTCTTTTTCACTGCACTCAGGAAAATGATGTCCTCATGGTGGATGAGATCAATGACATCAGAATCATCGGGTGCATCACGGTGGTGCTGCTCTTGGGCATATCTCTGGCAGGGATGGAATGGGAGGCCAAGGTAAGAAATTAATACTCTGCTTATTGACTCTGGACATGTTGCGGTAAAACCTCCTACCTTCGTTTTAATCACACTTATTTGTCCCCACAGGCACAGATTGTTCTACTTATTATCTTGCTTGTGGCCATAGTGAACGTATTTGTGGGAACAGCCATTCCTGCAACTGAAGATAAGAAATCAAAAGGCTTTTTCGGCTACGACTGTAAGACAATGTCCTTACCGTTGAGCATTTATTTACATACACAACAGTTTTTTCCAAACGACAGGGAACCTACTTTTTCTCATTTCCTTTCCATGTTTTTTTTTTTCAGCGCAAATCTTTATGGAGAATTTTCCGCCGGATTTCAGGGCTGGTGAATCTTTTTTCTCAGTGTTCGCTATATTTTTCCCGGCGGCAACAGGGATCCTCGCTGGAGCAAATATCTCTGGAGACCTGAAGGTAAATATTCTGATTCAGATGTCATTAGACAAGAGTGAGGCGTATAACTCATTTCGTTCCTTTAGTTCATATGGAGCCTTAAGAGAAAACCCTGTCATATATCTAAAATAATGAGATTATTCACATTTGATTAATTTTCAATTATACTCATTTCCAAAAACATTTTATTTCACTCATGAAGAAATTCTCTGATATGAACCGATTACATTTTACAGGATGCCCAAGCCGCCATACCCAAAGGTACCTTGTTGGCCATCCTGATAACTGGCATCACTTACCTTGGAGTGGCTCTTTGTGTTGGTAAGTAGACTACAGGAATTCATAGAATGCGAAAAAACGTTTTTATATAAAAGACAACCTTCCAGTAACATTACCATTTCTGGATACAGTTTGATTTGATTTAGACAAAGACTAGCATAAGACAGAACACATTCACTAGTTCTCCATCCCATGAAACACAGACTGAAATGCAACATTTTCTTCCTCTTACTGCAAACAGACATTAATTCCCTCAGTTTGCAATGACGCTTTAGTCGTTTGATCATACAAGACGTGGCTTATGTATCCCGAGAGGAAAAACATGTTTTAAGATGTCAAATAGAGGTTTATTTTGATACCTGTAATGTACGTTCTTCCCTCTGTTTTCCAGCTGCTACTGTGGTGCGAGATGCCACCGGAAACGTGACTGACCTCATCACGCCGGGGGTCCCCTGTAACGGCTCGGCCATTGCTGCCTGCGAATTCGGCTATAACTTCTCTTCCTGCACAGAAAATACAATGTCAACATGCGCATTTGGCTCCATGAACAATTTCCAGGTAATCGCACTTACAAACAAATCTGTACGGAAAAAGAAGGCTCTGTATCTCTGCTCATCCCTAACGTCTCCTCTCATGTGCTGGGGCTCAGGTGATGACCATGGTGTCAGGGTTTGGGCCTCTCATCACTGCGGGAACATTCTCAGCCACGCTTTCATCGGCTTTGGCCTCCCTTGTTAGCGCTCCAAAAGTGTTCCAGGTCAGCCACCTCACACTGTCTCTTAAACGCCGTGAAGTTCAAATGATGACTCCTCTGAAATCGTCTCTAATTTAACTTCTGCTGTTCGGCAGGCTCTGTGTAAAGACAACATCTACAAGGCCCTGCACTTCTTTGCCAAAGGACACGGAAAGAATAATGAGCCGATCCGTGGCTATATCCTCACATTCATTATTTCCGTGGCCTTCATTCTCATCGGTCAGTACAGTGGTCCATCACCGTTTCCCATCACATCCCAGCTGATTCATTAACATGCTCCACGTTCTTGTCCAATTCATTTTAAGCCTCAGATAAACAAATACAGTCAACTCTTAACATCTTAAAATAAAATTACTTTATTAAATCTTAAATAAAACCTTTATCTTAAATTCATGCAGATTACATTTTTCTCAAACAAATGTACGAAATGAACATTTATTCAAGATTTTTTTAACTCGAACAATTTGAAACCAGCATTACAGACATTTTACTGTCAGTAAAACATAAAAACCTGTCAAAGTTCACCAGAGAGAGATTGAAAGATTTCTTTTTTCTGTCTGCAGGCAACCTCAATACCATTGCTCCTATAATCTCAAACTTCTTTCTGGCATCTTACGCTCTCATCAATTTCTCCTGCTTCCATGCATCCTATGCCAAGTCTCCAGGTAAGTCTATAAAATAACTCATGAGGAAAATTTATAATTATACCTTTAAGGGGTAGTTCCCATCCAAAGAACTTTTCTTTTCCTCCCCAAAGCTTTAGAATACGGCATTTTGAATACATTAAAACAGTTCTGCAGAGAAATGCATTTGGACGAGATAACGTTTTAACTCTTTGCCGTCCCTCTTCTGTCATGCTCCTTCAGGTTGGAGACCTGCATACAAATACTACAACATGTGGCTATCTCTGTTCGGTGCTCTGCTCTGCTGTGTTGTTATGTTTGTTATCAACTGGTGGGCCGCTCTGCTCACGTACGGAATTGAAATCCTTCTTTACCTTTACGTCACCGTGAAGAAGCCAGGTGAGCTCGTTCACATGCTTGGAAATGTTTGTGTTTTTTGGCATGCAGGAGTTAGATGAACTAACCTGTGGGGATTCTCTCCTTTTAATGTCCAGATGTGAACTGGGGTTCGTCCACTCAGGCGGTGACATTTGTGAGTGCGGTCAGCAATGCTCTGTCTCTGTCTGGAGTCGAGGATCACGTCAAGAACTTCAGGTAAAAGCCTGCACTACATCACTCTAGGAGCACATCGATAGCCAGACAAAAAAATACAAATAAATGAAAATCAATGTACGTCTTTAGAATAAACACCGTGTGAAAAGAAAACATTCTTCTTCCATCTTCAGGCCTCAGATCTTAGCTCTAACGGGGTCACCACGAAGAAGGCCGGCTCTTTTGGACGTGGCTCACTCTCTCTCCAAGAACTATGGACTCTGTCTCACCTGTGAAGTTTTTGTGGTAGGTCATAAATTAAGTTACAAATAGCCCAAAGTAGTTTAGATTTGAGCTCAGACTTGTGCATGAAACAAATTTCATTTACCAAGAGATTTGACTTCCCAATCAGTGGATAAATATTATTACACACAGTGAGAAATGCTGACTAATAAATGTTGGCGAATAATTGTTCATGTAAAAGGATATATAGATGGCATCTCAAAGACATGCATATTCAGCTGTATGGCGTGATCTCCCCAGGGCCCCAGATCAGAGGTCCTTCAGGAAATGAACACTGGAATGGAGAGGAACCAGCTATGGCTGAAGAAGACCAAACGCAAGGCCTTTTACGCCGCCGTGGCCTGTGACAACTTCAGACTAGGAGCTGAGAGCCTGCTGCAGGTCAGTGTGTCCACAAAACAGCTCTGTGACAGATAAGATAAAGAAAACTAAGCCTGAATCATTGGTTTGATTAAACTGTAACCTGTGAGATTTCATCACACGGCGATGGCAGATTTGTAGAGGCAGCTTTCTGTGACCCATTTCTTCGTCTTGGCTCTGAGTGTCTATTGTTGTGTTATGGCTCTGGCCTAGACCCGTCCAAAGGATCTTGGCCAGGACATTGATGCGGCAGGAAGTTAATGATGAGCAGGGAAATTGTCTTATGGCTCCACTTTCGAGATAAGACAGCTGTTCATTGTCAGGATTGCTGTCTTCAAACAGCAGGGCGGATTAAAGGCTATAATTGATTAACACTGCACTGGATGAAGACCTTGCAGACAAAGTGACTTCTGTTGAGTGTTCTCGCCTTGACTTCTTGGCAATTAAAACGGCTTCATAATAATTTTTTTTGAGAATTTGTGGAGCTTTTTGAGAGTGTTTTCAGTTTTTAACCATTTATGGCTCACTCTGATGCATTGCGTTGTTCTTTTCCCCGCAGGCTAGTGGTCTCGGCCGTATGAAGCCTAACATACTCATGATGGGCTTCAAGAAAGACTGGAAGACCGTAAGCACTGAGGAAGTGAGGGATTACGTGGGAGTGCTGCAGTAAGTCAGAATTGCAAGACGCACATCCAGCAATAATATGCTCGATACTTGAACCTGAGAGAGTTCTGTGCATTGAACCGGTGTCCTGATTCTGTTCACGACAGCGATGCGTTTGACTTTGAGTACGGGACAGTCGTGCTGAGGATGAGCGAGGGACTGGATTTGTCGCATATCGTGGAGGCAGAAGGTGAGTGTGATTTCACATGCCGGACCCTCCTTATTAGTCATGTTTTTTCAAAAGTTTAAAGGCAAAAAGTTAAAGGACAAGAGGTCTATGAAACTAAACATGTGGCAACCAAAGGCCAACATAAAGTGTATAAATCAGCAAACGCATGATACAACATTGAAGAAAAATACATAGCAAAAGAGTTTGCTATGAATGAAATAAACATTAGAATTGTATGGACAATGTAAGCATATACCTTTTTAACGTCTTAATTGACAGCTATTTGCAGAAATGCCAGATATGTAATTGGAATTTATCTGCTTTTTTAAATATCTTGGTGAAAAAGACCTGTGATTTTAAATAGGTTAAACTGCAGTGTGCAGTGGCACTCCAAAAGTACCTGATAGGGATAAAAATAACACTGATACGGTGGAGCACTTTGTTCTGTAGATAATGAAGGGTTCATAACAGTCATTGCTAGGTAATTGCTATATAACATGCTAAAATAACATCAGAGGCTTAGGTAGAACTTTGCCCTAAGAGTATTAATTTTTATATGTACGTATCTCCGTCTTGCGATATCCATCGTAGACATTATCTGGTCAAGAAATGGCAAAAAAAACAAGTAGTTATGACTGTAATGTTTATGTTAGAATTTTGAAAATAAATTGTTGCCAGACAATAAATAAAAATGTCAACTAAGAAAAAAATTAGGCAAAAAACCTTATAAATAACTTATTTAACATCTTTAACATTTTCGCTGTAGGAGAGGTTTGTTCCCCTATTAGATCATTTTAACCTATAAAACATAAACTCATGGATAAATTGATTTTTTTGGTACTGAAAATGGATGCCTGGAGACAGTTACCTGCAGCAACTGGCTTTATATCTGATTGTGTCTTATAGATGAGATGCTGAAGGCGGCAAAGGAGCAGCAGGCACTGGAAATGACGGAGAATGGAGGAAAATCAAAAGGACTCTTCAGGAAGTCCAGGAATTCATCTCAGCAAGTGCTCACGACCAGAGGTAAATATCTAGAGATATTTATCTGACTATTCAGATGAGTTCTTCAATCCAAGCTATTTAAAGCAAAGCTTGCATCAGAGGGTGATTTTTAAAATATGACAGAGCAGGAAGTATCTTTCTCCCTCTGCATGCACTCCTATTCCCACCGATTTGAAATAAAAAGTAACATACATTTAACAAATGAAGCCAATGACTCACATCTCTTTGGGAAACTTTCCCCACTCACATTGAGATATAATTGAATCAGCCACTCCCACAAAAGACATCTCTGAGGGTGTAATCCAATAACATGGCCCCTTAGTTCCACTTTGGAGAACATTTTATAAGAGCAGTCCTTTAACCCAGACAGCAGAGGGTGCCTGCAGCCTCTTACTCGATCTGTCTCTGTCTGCGCACAACACACACACACACACAAACACGATTTCCATTTAGCTGCATCTCGCTGATACTCATTAATTTATGATCTGCATCCTTCATCAGACCTGAGAGATGACTGTGTCCGCTGACACAGCCGGCTCCTAATGTTGCTTTACACTACGTTTCCCATCCGACTCAACTCTCAGAGCCTCCTTACACTCCCCCCCTCACAGCTCTCGTTTTATGTATCTTTTTCTCCCTGTGTCAGTGTCGGTGTGCAGCCCCCCACCTGCGCAGGTTGCCAAGATGAATGAGAGGCTGATAGAGGCCAGTGCTCAGTTCAAGAAGAAACAGCCTAAAGGCACCATTGATGTGTGGTGGATGTTTGACGATGGAGGTAGGTGCCAGTTCCACGACGTAGCCTCTTGCTTTGTGCCTTTCCTGTAAACCTTAACAAAGAGTAGAAAGGCATCACATCCTCCTCTATTCTATAGCAGTCAATAAAAGCTAAATTAAACAGAGACGTTTAAAAACATAAGCTGAAAATGTTTGTGAAGAGATGAAGAACAAGGCATTTGCTGATTACCACATGTCCATCAGTCATGAGTTTCAATAGAGTTGATGTTGCCACGCTCATGTTGAGTCTAATTCTTTATGGCACTCAGAGTGAAAATGGTGTCTGAAGCCACCGCGTGTGATAAAAAAACTGTAACTCGAGTTGACACAGTTGAGTGTGAGCATGGGAAAAGTTCTCAACATGTTTTTTTCAACATCAGCATTCGAGAGGATGTAAAGGTCCATCCCATTACCTCCTTATTGGGTTAGATTTTGTCATGTTTAGCATAGTAAAAAGTATCTAAGATATTCCTCAAGGTTTTTATGAAACATATGATTGGTCTGAATGTAACAGCTATCACTAACATTCTTTGAGTTTGTGTCTAAACCCACAGAGGGCGCTATGGAGCTATGACAAAGAAATTAGCTCCAAACATGCCAAAAGTATTCAGGGAGACTGAGATAAAACAACAGTAAAGAGATATAAATGTTGTGGAATAAATCACGAGGAAGCAGAATATGATGACCTTTTGTTTGATAATCTCAACTGAAATGGTTTTTAATTTGAAAAAAATGTGTCCATTTCTCTTAGGCCTTACCCTGCTGCTCCCCTACATCCTCACCACCAGGAAGAAGTGGAAAGACTGTAAATTAAGGATCTTCATTGCAGGGGAGCCCGGCCGCAGTGAACTGGATAAACAGGAGTGAGTGAACAAATGAATGTTTCCATGTTAGTTACGAAATAAATGCACAAAATGCTGAGTTATCTCAAATTTAATCCAAAATAATTACCTCGATTTGTGTGAAAGCTTATCAGGTTGTTGTGATTTGATTTCAGGATGAAGTCTCTGTTGCAGAAGTTCAGAATTAACTGCAGTGACATTAATGTCGTCGATGATATCCATATGGGACCCCGCTCTGAGAGGTAACTACTGAATGTCAACCAAATTTAGCGCCAGAAGCTGTAAAAAATTAGATACAATCTGCATTACACATATGAATGAGTGTTTCAGCTCATGTTGTTGTCTACATTCTTACAGTCTGAAGCAGTTCGAGGACATGATAAAGCCTTTCCGTCTGCATGAGGGGTCTAAAGACTACAGTCAGGCCGAAGCCATGAAGAATGAGCACCCATGGAAAATCACAGATGAGGAGCTGAGCAGCTTTGAGGAGAAGGTAAACCCCCGATGCTAAGACACAAAGTCACGTATCATCCTGCTTTGGAAGGTGGACGTTATTGTTTAAAACAACTGTTTCCGCTCCTCAGACCAACCTCCAAATACGACTCAACGAGCTTCTTCAGGAAAACTCCAAATCAGCCAATTTGATCATAGTGTAAGTATAAATAGCTTGTTTCTTTTAATGATATCTAACCACCAAATGTAACTTGGTGCTGTCAGAAAAGTAAATTAACCTACTTTTTCGTCTCTTCTATTTACCATCTGCAGGAGCATGCCCATTGCTCGCAAGGGTGTCTCTGATATGCTCTACATGGCTTGGCTGGACATTCTGACAAAGGACCTTCCACCTACTTTGCTCATCAGAGGCAACCACAAGAGTGTGCTCACTTTCTACTCTTGAGCACTTTGCAGGCCAAACAGAAAAGTATCACGCAGCTAAGGGGGAAAAAAAGGGATTTCCATAATGATGATCGTGTGTATGAAATGTACAAGGATGTGGATAACGTCCAGTCTTTCTGGCTGACACCAGAGTCAAAAACCCATTTATTTTGATGGGAAAACAACAGAAAACGCCCAAATTAGCAAACAGAAGGTAACAATCATCTGATGCTTAAACCTCCCACTTAGAAAATTTGATGTTTTAAAACATGAAAATAGTTTTTTTGGTCTAGGGGGATCATTTTTCGTGAAGGAACTGTGGCATTTTGTGTGGTTGCGTCCATCATAATTTGCACACTGTAGCAAGACTGTACTTTCTGGCTCTCACCAAACTGACCTGCGACTTCTGGATCTCTGTCGATGTGAGAAAAGCCAGATCTAAGCCAGATCATCTCTGTGAGAGCAGAGATACAGGTTAGACTGACTGACAGTGACTGTAATATACATGTATATAGATAACTAAGTAGATATTTTTGCAACAAGAAAACTATTTTATAAATGATTAACATGATAGGGGCTAAATGAATTCTTTGAAACCTATATTAAAATGCTTTGATTACGTTTAATTATGTTGTCAAATGAGTGTAAAATAAAATATGGTGTACTGCTCCACATTATTATTTCAGTGTTTTAATGTTACGCTTGCAGTATATATCTTTCCTTAAGTAAAAAATCAAGTCAAACCCAGTGTAAAAAAAACTACTTTGTATATTTTAACCCATTGTATCTCTGCTATTTAAATAAATGACTATGATCACTTGAAATAAATAAATAATACAAACATTAAAACTGTTCTTCTGTCCTCACATGTGAACTCATCTTTATTGTTTGGTAAAACTACATTTTTTTGTGTCACGAAACTAACCTGCAAAAACATTAGATACTCTTATGCCCTACAAAAAACAAGATACATTTAGTTCAATCATAAAATAATAACATTGTTTCATGAATATCAAAGCAAGCTGTCTTTCTAAATGTGGTATGAACAAATACTCATTTGGTCCATTCAAAACAAAACTAAAAGAACGTGCATGATCCACAAGTCAAACTAAGAGTTAAAAGCAAAAGTGTGTGCATCTTGAACAACTGAAATAATTGTGAATCATACAGATCACCCTAGAAAGGAAAGCAAAACCTGTTGGCACAGTTTTGCTTTGAGATGTTTCTGACTCACTTGTTGTATAAGATGTATTCACAGGTCACAACAGCATACAGCTAAAGAAATAGAGAAAAAAGACTGATTCTGTATGAATATATACATATTTAAATCCCCATGTGTTTTCTGATACAATCCACTATATTCAGTGTTGCTGGTGTTTCTTTTTTTTGTGCCACATTTGAAAAAGTAACAGAATTCCCAGAGATATCACATAAAAAGGGCAAATTAGAATAGGGATCGACTGATTCAGCATCCTCATTTCTGCACACGCATACGTGTCTCTCTGCAGCAGTCAGCTGAGTGGGCTGGGACTGAGGTGAGCGGCTGTTTGAAACGGTGTTAGCCACTAATGTCCGGGGTTAGGGTCTTTCAGCTATGCCCGGCGTTGTCTGGCCTTGCCTCGCGTGTCTCCGGAAGGCTGTTTCACACGCAAATGATAACAAGAAACAAAGGCAAGACAGTAACAGGCAACGCTTTGCAGTGTTTTGGTTGACGTTAGCTTTGTTAGCCTGAGTAGCATTTTGTAACTAACCCGTTTGGTTTCGGTTATTTCTTCTGGTTTTCTGTGGACGTAGACTTTGTTTACCAATTACTTCTTGGAGTTGTGTTATTAGACATAAACCGTGTCTCCTCACCTGTTACCTTTTACTTTCCAGGTTAATATATATAGTCAATATCAGTCAGTCAGAAGCTAACGTTTGTTTGTATGCTGTAAATTTTGCGAAAACCGAAGCAGTACGACAAAGAAAACCGGTTGCCATTACTGCAGTGCATCGTTATATATTCAGTAATCGAATATCGTTTAATTTGCATCATAACATAAGCTACCGGACTCCATTGCAGTCTGTTTTTGTGTCGTTTATTACCATTTCCGTTTGTCACTGCAACGTCACGAGCGAGGGAAATCGTTTTAAATGAGCGCGCGAGAGCGAGTGGAGCATCACGCTGCAGCACGTTTGTTATAAGATAGGTAGCTTTTAGCCTTACTAATTTAATTGGTTTTACTCGGTTTATTTATACTGTGCACCGTTTGTCAAAATGCCCGTCTTAGAGATTGCAGATGCTTCCGGAGTTTCGCCCTCAAAGAGAACGAGAGTAGAAGAGAAACGTGAAGAAGAAAAACCGGTGCTTAGATTTGCTAAACTCTCCGAGCATGCAACGACACCAACGCGGGGTTCAGCTAAAGCTGCTGGATATGATCTGTACAGGTTGGTTAGATCGTTTTTCTAACTCAATAAAAAAGCATTTTATTAGTAGTATTCAAATATATATAGTAATACTAACACTGATTATTTAGCATCGTATTAGCACTGATATTTCCATTTTTCTGTCTGATGCTTAAACCTCCCACTTAGAAAATTTGATTTCTTAAAAACATGAAACTAGTTTTTTCTTGGTCTGGGTTGATCATTTTTCATGAAGGAGCTGCAGCAATTTGTGTGGCTGCATCCCTATAAGAAATGGGTCTGTTAGCCTCAGCTAATTGGAGGGAAAAAATAGGTGTAATTGATCTAACCACCATTCTCTTAACTAAAACAGTGCATATGACTACTCTATTGCTGCAATGGATAAGGCCATCGTGAAGACGGACATCCAGATTGCAGTTCCACATGGCTGCTATGGGAGAGTTGGTGAGTCGGTTACCTTTCCCTTAAGTATGTGCGCATTTTCAGTTAGTATCAGCAACAGTCTTTAAGTGTACCTTTCTGTCTTTTCTCCTCAGCACCCAGGTCTGGACTGGCGGTCAAACACTTCATTGACGTTGGTGGTGAGTGTTGAACTGATGAAATCGTTCTGAACCACTCATGCATTCATAGTTTGTCAGCCATATTTATTCCTGCGTGCTCTGTATGTTGACAGCTGGTGTGGTGGATGAGGACTACAGGGGAAATGTTGGTGTTGTGCTATTCAACTTTGGCAAGGACGCATTTGAAGGTGGGTTTTGACATCAGTAAAAAACATCTCAGCTGGATTATCACTAAAATAAACTCATACAGAGTATAAATATGCAAGATCCAGATGGAAATTGTGGTACGAGTCGCGGAGGGAGGTGTCGGTTGTGTTGGGTTTTTCAGGCATATGACAAATGTCACACAAAACTCGGGATAAACACACCACATTAACACCCAATACCCTAACAGTTGATTGTAAGGCTCCTTTTCCTCGTCACTGAGACTGGTTCTGTCTGAAACTGTCATGCAGAATCAATCGTGGCCGGTCGGACACCTCTCTCGTGACTTGATGTTGTGGATATGCATCAAAGCAATTAAAGAGCTTGATTAATCTGCTCTGTACATACAATCAGAAATAATGAAGTTGTCTCTGGTGTCTTGCTTTGTTCCTCATCGCAGTGAAAAAGGGTGACAGAGTTGCTCAGCTGGTTTGTGAGAGGATCTTCTACCCAGATCTGGTTGAACAAGAGGTAAATATCAAATTGACCAATTGGATTTACCATCCGTTACCAGTAGATATTTGAGTTAAACCAAACATGCGCACTCACATAAGTTGTATTTATTACCACTATTCTGAAAAGACTGCAGTATCCGTTTAATTTTTATGCTATCAAATGTGGAACAGTTACACTTGACTGCAGACATCAGCGTTACTGAGACAAATTTACAGTTTTCAGTACTAAAAAATATTAATTTGCACTCTGAGAAATAATTTTGTTTTTCAAATGGACTGATAAGTGGACTGAATGTCATCTATTATGTTATAAACCATATTTATTCTTTCAGACACTCGATGAAACGGAGCGTGGTGCAGGAGGTTTTGGATCAACCGGACACAACTGAAATATCCTGTTTATTTTTCTCAATCAATTTAGTAAATTGATCTAATAAATTTGTTTTTGTACAGTGGTGTCAGATTTTTTGATACTATATCAACAAGTTTTGAGGACTTGCAAGTCGCCACAAGAGGGCAGTGTAAGACAAGAAATGAGTTTCAGGTCAGTCAGAACATTCAAACCACAACCATGTGTAGTGAGTCTAGTACCCCTTCGGGGGTGGGGGGGGACTTCTTAGCATCTGGAAGGAGGACTGCCAGAAAAACTTTCAGAACAGATTATTTAGTGTAATCTGAGTTTCGCTCGCCAAAACATACAGAGATCGTGTAGCGCCTGATTTTGGTCATACATGACTGCAGAGGAGGAGTAACGATGCTAGCAGCTGCCTGTCGTAATGGCAATCCCACCTGGACAAATGGGGAAGTAAGCACCGAGTACATGTAGACCAAAAATATGTTTTTATTGTGAATTTACAACTAAACCCTCACGGATGTGAACAGAGAACACAGACTGGTGTCAGGCTGGTCGTGGCAATGCAGCACTGATTTTACTTGTGAGAGAGTGTGTGGCCGTGGAGACCTCAGTGCATAATCATGAAGGCCCAGGTTTGGCATCATCAAATGTGTGTGTGTGTTCGTGTGTGTACGTGTGTGAGATTGTATACACAGTTTACGAAGGAAGTAGTTGGTCATTATAAGCACCATTACAACTCCCCCTCTATTCCAGGGGCTTCCTCTAGTTTACAAATGCGTCATAGATTAAAAGTGGCATTGATTATTACAGTATAAACACAATTTACACGTAGTATAAGAGGAGAGCAGACAGGCTTTGACGCTAGCTGTTGCAGCTGCAAGGACATGAAATCTTCAGAATGACCGATGGGCTTCCTGTTGACTACTGAGCTTTGTATAGTAGTGCAGTGCATTCAGAAGTCTATGTGAATTTGTTGCTAGCACCAGTAGATATGAATTATTCTATCAGTAGAAAAGGTGGAAAAGCATCGTTAAAATATGCAGTAGGAGTCATTCAAGCTCAGACATGGCTACATCGCAATAGTCCACAGTGGGTTCCTTTCCTCTCCTAAACATCTAAACATTCTCAATCCTTTTCATCTTCGCCGAATTACTGTGTGGCGACGGAGCAGCGTGACAGCTTCCATGTGCCCTGATTCGGTCCGCACTGACTGGAGGGGAGGAAACGAACGGATTTCAGACTATTGTGACTCAACCTCAACCTTATTTTTCCTCCGCTTCAGATGAGTTTTAAACAAACTCAGCCCATAGAGTTATCTGCAGCCCACATGCCCTTCAAAGAGGCATCTTGATTCCACATATCATCATACGACATTAAACCCAAAATTAAAAACCTATTCACACCCCTCGATAGTGCTTTAAACACAGCTGGAGTTGTGTTCCGAGGCAACGTGTGTTACATTTGACTGAAGCATTGCCTCACTCAGCCGGCATTTTCCACAGACACTGTATCTATGATATGTAGAATCATCTTTGGTAATCAAATGACGCAGTCCCTCCCCCCCCCTCCCCACCCCCCCACGAACCCCCCTCTTGTCTCTTTGGTGGTGAGCCCTTCTCTCACTGTTGGGGAAAAAAAGTAGAGGTTGCAACCTAACTACTGACCCAGCGTCAGAAATGTTTGGCCTCTGTTGGGGTAGTGTGAGTCTGACCCTGGATTAGCAGCGGCCGGCAACAACCGCCTCTTTCAGTTCATGCGACGGTTAATGGAGGACGAGCTGCACCCTCATCTTCAGTACGTCTCCCAGCTGTCCCGTGAGGTAGTCTTTATCGTGCTGGTCCTCCAGCTCGGCCAGCTGCTTCTTCCTGTAGAGGGGCGCGCCGCTGATCTGGAGGGAGTAGGCCCCCGGCAGGAGGGCCTTCTTCTTCATCAGATGGAGGTAGCTGACGCCCTCCCTCTGGTTGATTTTGAAGTGGCCCTCCTCGTTCCCGTGGTCGATGCTGTAGCGCACGTGGTCGCTGAGCGCCGATAGGGCCGGCGTGAACTCCAGGATGTGGTCGCGGTTGCTGAGGTCGCTGATGTTCAGGTGGAACCGGAGGGTGTCTTCGATGTCCAGGCTGGCCAGGCTGACGCCCTCCTCTTCGGTGAGCTGAGGACGAAACGATAAAGGCTGCGGCGTGACAGATTTCTGAGGGTTTAAGTCGTTTTAAAAAAGTTAAAATTGATTAAAAAATACTCAAACCTTTCTTTTTTTCAGCCTAAAACAGACAAAACCTTTAGCAAAAACAAGTAAAAACCAGCAGGGGCTGCTAATGGAGCCCCAGAGTTTTTGTTTGTAGCTGAAGGATGATGTTATAAAAAATTTAAATCTCTTTAACTCATTGGCTGCCAAAGACGTCTATAGACGTCTTTTATGTTTTTCAACCAGAGTGGCTTGGGGGACGATCTGCTAAAGCTTGTCCGTAAATATCAGGCTTCTAGACAGCGTATGCAGTAACAAATTGACCCTCTAGGGGGCAGTGCCACTTTTGATGGGAGATGAGCATAGACTGTAGGCAAATAAAAAAAGCGTAACGGTTCGCTATGTGAAAACATGTCGCCGATGAGACACAAGTCGAGGAAGATCGGAATAAGGTAGAAACTATTTTTTTTTCCGGATGAAAGAAAAGAGTCTACTCTTTCTTTTGGTGTGTTTGGTGTTTACATAGTCATAGCACAAACTATTCTGTGGCTCTTGAAAAATCAGTCAAAAGGCTAAAAAAACTCAGTCAATGAGTTAAAGAGATATGATCAATCTTCTGTGTCTCTGTGTTAGCGGTAGCTTTGCGCGCAGATTACCTGCACGTCCTCCGGGAGTCCGTCCTGTGTGGAGTTGGTGCTGCGGCGCTGGCGCCCCCTCTTGGGGTAACCGTTGATCTTACACTCATAGCAGGCTTCAGGCGAGAGGGAATTGTCGTCCTCCTCGCCTTCCTGTCCGTTGCCCGTGAAGCCTAAGCCCGTGACACAGTGCCTTAAACAAAAACAAAAAAAGGGTCATAAGCACATTAAATCAACATGCGCAGGGTGGGAAGTACAAGTACTTCGTTACTGTACTTAAGTACAATTTCCGTGTATCTGTACTTTACTTAAGTAGATTTAATAATGGATACTTTCTACTTTTACCCCACTACATTTAACAGTAAGTATCTGTACTTTCTACTTCTCTACATTTCTATACAGCGTTTCGTTACTCGTTACATCCAAGACGCATTTCGGTTTTTTGATTTGTTCGTTAGTTTGAAAGTATCCAATGGCGAGGAGCAGAATCAGTCCGCTGAACCAATCCAAAGCGGGAAATAACCATTAGGCCCTCCCCTCAAGAAGAGCAGCACAGTACGCAGGACTGATTTATTAAAACTAAATACGATAGGTACACTTAATAACATTATATAAGCCGTTAGGTAATATGGTTGGCAAGTTACTTTTAATACTTAAGTAGTTTTAAAAGCTTGTACTTTCTTAATTTTACTTAGGTGAAATAATAATGTGGTACTTTGACTTTTACTTGAGTACATTTTTGTCTGTGTATTTGTACTTTTACTTAAATACATTGTATGAGTACTTTCTCCACCACTGGTGAACAGGGAGGGGCCTCTCTCACCCTTGTCCTGCGCGGAAGTACCCCGTCGGGCACCCGCAGAGGTACCCCCCGTCCGTGTTGGAGCAGCCGAACTTGCAGGGGTTCTGGCTGGTGGAGCACTCGTTGATGTCCGTGCACCCCCCGCTGGTCTGCTCGAAGTTGAACCCGGTCGGGCAGAGGCAGCGGAAGCTCCCCAGGGTGTTGTGGCACGACGCGCCCCCGCAGATCTGGCTGTTCAGACACTCGTTCTCATCTGGGTCACAGGAAGTCGGCGGGAAGTAAACAAATGTGGGGGTCGTTCCAGTTAAAGGACACAAACAACAAAGGGGAAAAGTCTGTCCAGAACGTTAGAAATACATGGACAGATTCAATCAAGAAATATGGGCCCAATTGCTTTAACTACATCTGAGCTATTTATAGCTCTTATATTTTTTAATAGAGTAAATATATTATCACTACTGATTTTGTAATTATTTTATCGAGTTAGACTGAAACACCTCAGCTTCTTTTTAACCTAAGATATAGTGCTTTAATAAGAAAATTGAGATAGCTTTTTCTCCTTTTCTTGTAAAAAATATAGAAATGTTTGAAGTTCTACAGAAAAAGAAAAAAACCCAGAAAGCATCAGAAAAGGGTGAAGCATGGAAATGAGTCAAAGCCTGAGGAGACCTAACGCTCGGCTGCAACCAGGTTGTCAAGGATCCCCAAAAGGTACGAATATTATCTACATTTACTGACGGCAAAGTGGATTCCTCACCCACACACTGGTTCCACTGGTAGTGCTGCAGGTAGCCCTGTGGACAACTGCACCTGTATCCACCCACCAAGTTCTGACAGCCGTGCTGACACCTGTGTTCTCCATCGCACTCGTCCGTATCTATCCCAGACAAAATGGTGTGGAAAAAGAAAGAAAAGAAAACAAAGGAGTCTTTGTTCAGTCGCTAATCAGCTGATTGTGTTCGGCCCGACATCGATTGTTTTCGAACCTTCACAAGTCTGTCCGCTGAGGTCTAATGAGAATCCCCGCTGGCAGTCGCAGTTGAAGCTCCCCGGCGTGTTCTGGCAGACGCCGTTGGAGCCGCACAGATTGGGGTCTGCTGAACACTCGTTGTTGTCTACACAGAGAGGAGGGAAGTTTTCAGACACCTGTAAAGGGCTGAAACGTGATACAAAAGGCTGCTCGTGACCCTGAACTGAATGTGCTGAATTGCTTTAAAACGTACGCCGTCCCGCTTAAAAAAACTGGGGCAGATCGCCATGGATGTTTTGGCACAACCGCCTCAAACCAGAGGAGGTAACACTCGAATGTGAAAGTTCATCCTTGGGAATGTTAGTTTGAAAAAAGAAAAAAAAAAATCTACATTCGTCTACTTTCGGTCTTTCTTTTCAGGGACAGAGTAGTAAGTGAGCCTTGAGGAAATTATATCGACCAACATGCTTGATTGTTTTGACTGGAAACGGGAAAAATCTGAACATGATCGTGCTGTTTAAGTTGTTGGGGAACAAAAATCAGAGGAGGGAAGAATGTGATCTCTAAATCTCAGCTGGTAAAAGTGCAAGCCCAGGTCTTTTCACAGATGGTTGAGGTTTTATAAGTACTCTGATATGTTCCCAACTAAAACTTTATTTGGTGAAACAGTCCACACACAGGAGATGGTGTTAAAAAGCAGAATGTGAGCAACTACTTTCCCAAAGAACTCCTAAACAATCAGAGGGCATGTCAAACCTATATTAGTTTTAAAAAAAAGGATTCATTCAGAGAGAATTAAATCATTACCACACAACATTTCTTTTTTATTAGATTTCACATTTCTTTTTTAAAAAGAGATTTGTCCTGAAGGGGTTGGAAGTTCTGCAAGTTAAATTTGTGCTACACTTGAGCACAACAGTATTTTCTACCAGGAGATGAGTTGCACAAGTGTTTTATTCATGAACCCCATCTCATTTAAACACACCTTTAATGTGTCATGTGCATGAGGACACTCCTACCGTCATAACTGAGGGTTCCCTGTCTTTGATGGGGACATGAGGTCATGGGAGCTAATTTACGGTCAATAAAAGAAAAGAAAAAAAGTATGCGGTAGTCATGACGATCTCCTGCAATGTTCCACAATAAAACATGGCTCAGCTGCCGGGACAGCAACCCAGTCAAGCCTAATGAGATCAGTGTGGGTCCGTTAATACTGCGTCCATCCCGGGTGGACAAGAGGGAGCTTCACTGCTCGATTATGAGAGATGCCATGAGAAATTTCACCGTGAGAGACCGGATTGTGTCTGCACGATGTGTGTAAGATGGAAGAGCTGAGTCTGGGGAACACACGGGCAGATGAAAAGGGGGATGGATGCTCAGTGTGTCTGTATTTTGTATGCGAGTGTGTGTAATTTACCGATGCAGGCGGAGTGATGCTGGCTGAAGCCGGGAGGGCATTTGCAGGTGAAGCCGCCGATGGTGTTAAAGCACAAGAACTGACAGTTGTGCTGTTTGGTGGAACACTCGTCCAGATCTAAAAAGCCAAGTTTCACAGTGTGAAAAAAAACACACAATTTGAGAAAAAAGCTCAGAACTCTAGATAATGCATTCGAGACATTGCCGTTGGACTGGTCAAGTCAAGTCAAGTCAAGTCAAACTTTATTCATAGAGCACATTTAAAATAACCAAAGTTGCCAAAGTGCTGTACAGGTAAAAATAAACATAAAAAGCTAACATAATTTACATGTATATGTAATTTTAATGTAAAATAAAATAATAAATAAATAAAAATAAATAAAAAGGTAAAAAGGTGCTCTACCTCAACCTAAGGTTAAAATGTTAAAAGCCATTTAACATGGTGCGTATAAGGGCCGCTCCTGTCAGAGTTAAAATTCCAGTCCTTGTAAAGTCACTGACCTACAAATGAACTGCAAATGTACCAGACACCGGACACACAGAGGGGGGTACTGTAGAAGTGGGGGGGGGGAAACTCAAGCTATGGTAAATAAAGATGAAAGAAGCCCTCAAAAACCGAACGCCACAGAAAAACGCTTTTTTCGGTCTGATAAACAAGTCTGATAAACAGAGGCGGTGTGTCACAGGCCCTGGACACTGGGTACATGTGGACACGCACACTAAATCATGCGGGAAAGACACCTTGAGTAGTTCACCCACTCAAAAACAAAGTATCTGGCTTAATGTGGAACGCTTATGAGAATGGGAGTTTGCGTTTCTGTGTCTTTTGCACGTCACCTCGGCAGCTCTTTCCGTCCTCCTGCAGGATGTATCCTCTGGGGCAGGAGCAGAGGTAGCTTCCCTCTGTGTTCTTACAGATGAAGTTACAGGGCTTCGGTGCCTGTATGCACTCATCCACATCTAGCACGAGACGAAATCGTAAAAAGACAGAGAGAGAGAGAGAGAGAGAGGCAGCGTTTGAATCCCGTGGCCGGTCGTTCCATAAAGGGGAGATGATGAGATCGACAGACCCCGGCTGCATTTTTTAAAAGGAGAGAGTGGGCAGTCCACCCACATAGTTTCGGCTCTTTACTAGACAGCAGGAATGAGAACAGGAGGCAGGAGAGGAGTCCATAAAGTAGATATCAGAGGTGAGTTTTGGCCTTACCCACACACCGTGTGCTGGTAATGTCCGTGGTGAAGCCCGTCTTGCAGACGCAGTGATAGGAGCCCAAGGAGTTGATGCACTGGCCGTTCTTGCAAAGGTTTCCCATCACGCGGCACTCGTCGATGTCTGGACGGAAACAGGAAAAGTCAGCCCCAGACAGAGTTATCACAGCCTAAACGCAGGTCAATTTCCTCAGCTGGAATTACACCACACATTTGGTTCTTTTTTAGAAAATACCTCGGCCTGTAGCTGCCAGCTCCATCCAGCCTTTTCCACCAGTGACATCTCAAGTGTAAAAGCACTTAGAGGTAAATATAACTGCTTTCCTGGTGATTTGAAGACAACCAGCAGGAACCATCTGCTATCTGTATCTGTAACACTCACCTCTTGTGATTTTAAAGGACCACACATGCAGTTTCTTGCCTACAAGTTGGTACTGACAAATTTACTAAACATAGTTATCCACACCCTGCAGGGCTTTTTAGGATAAGCACTCTACCACTCCGTCTTTTTTAGGGGTATGCTATTACGGCAAAACAGAGGTCTGATTATTTGGTCGGACTGATATTAGCAGGAATTTGGAAACAAAAAAGAATTTGCAGATGTTTTCAATCTCGTCTATTCTCTTTCCTTTGTCATTTTTTTTGTTTTTTACAGTGATTAACTCCTTGGCTGCCAAAGACGTCTATAGACGTCTTTTATGTTTTTCAACGCGAGTGGCTGGGGGACGATCTGATAAAGCTTGTCTGTAAATATCAGGCTTCTAGACAGAGTATGTAGTAACAAATTGACCCTCTAGGTGGCAGTGCCACTTTTGATGGGAGATGAGCATAGACTGTAGGCAAATAAGAAAAACGTAATGGTTCGCTATGCGAGAAATGGCGCCAGTGAGACGCAAGTCGAGGAAGAACGTAATAAGGTAGAAACAAATGTTTTTTTCTGATGAAAGAAGAGAGTCTACTCTTTCTTTTGGTGTGTTCGGTGTTTACATAGTCATAGCACAAACTATTCTGTGGCTCTTGAAAAATAAGTCAAAATGCTCAAAAAACTCAGTATGGGATGCAGTATGGGACTCTGTTCTGAAAATGGCTGGTAGTCAATGAGTTAAGATACCTCTGCCATCGGTGGTGTACCCCGGTCCCAGCGGGCACATCTTCTTGTACTGGGTGGTCCCCGGCAGAGGACAGAGCTCACAGTTGGTGCCCCAACCCCGTCCTCCGTCGCAGCAACACTCGGACTTGGTCACCATGTTCCTGTTGCTAGAGGACATCTGGCACAGGGTGGTGAGGACCTCGGTGAAACAGAAGCCTTCCCGGTTATCTGGAGGGGGAGAAAAAAAAAGAAGCAAAAGGATGTTGAGGCCGCAACCAAACGAGGGAACCAGACGATACCACCCAGACAATCCACACCGCTCTATCACTACTGTCTGCGAGGAATGAGATAGCCAAAGAACCACCAGGTTTGCAAAGTCCCCCTGGAGGTTTTCTCACACAGCTCAGCACATCACGGCTGTCAAGGGGGAATATATTTAGACAAGGGAGGAAATCTTTTTTTTTTACAGGCTGTCTCGATAAAAGTAGACAAGAGGTCTTTGTTACTGGAAATTTCAATTCTGACTTTCTTGGTAGAAAAACCACCCAAAAAATCTAACGATCTATCTAAGTTAGAGCCGGAAAAAATACAATTTGTGAAAAAAAATCAGTCCGCTGTTGCTCAATGGAAAAAAAAACAGGTCAAACTAAAGTGAAAAATAAAATAAATACAGAAAAGAGTTGAAACCAATATACATACCGATACATTCTGTCTGTGTGGGGTTGGCAATGAATCCTTGATCACATCTGCAGCGGTAGCTTCCAAATGTGTTCTCACAGCGGCCATTCTTGCAGATTCCTGGTTTAGCTGTACACTCGTTCAGGTCTAACACACACAAACGCGCACACACACACACACACAGACAGTGAGGGGATGATGCCGACATATTCATCACATAGGATTTTCAGCTGTATGCTAAAACTGCGATGAATTGACCTCAGGTGGAAGGTCTTCCCACAAGCCCACACATCAAATCCCTCATATATGAGCTAAACATCTGAGTAAAATCAGGCGGAAAATGCAAGGAATTCAGAAAGTCCAAATGGGTTTCGGTCTTCTGAGTTTGAACCGCCGCAGACTGTCTTAATTTATGTTGGAATCTTGCGTTTCGGTAAATCAGACGCGCTTAGGCCCGCTCTGGTAATCTGTCAATGCTAACAAATCCAATACACATCGCTGTTGAAAGGCCAAAAGAAATGTTAAAGGAAAATTAGAGAAAAAATGCATTTTGACTTTAATGTTCTCAACGGATTTATGGTTGAACAGCCTGCCTGAGGTCACGTTACCCCTCATAGGCTACTTGTAACATAAGACAAAGACTGGAGGTACGACTGTTACATCTTTCCACGTATTTCACAGAATCTGCCCATGATAATGTAGTGCCAGCTATCAAATCAAAGCAATTATTAGTTAAGAATGGTGAAAAAAAAAAATACAACAAGATGTAAGGTGTGGAGGAGAGAGGAAAAACCCTACAAGGGGAAAAGTACTACAAAATGTCCTTATATTAACATAATGCATGCCATTATGCATGCATGAGATCAGTTAAGCTACATGAGTTGTAAAAATAAATGTAAAAGTAGGAGGTGTAGGATGTCACTGCTGAGGACATGTAGCTAAACGACCAAACCATGCACCAAACACCAAGGCAAATTCCTTGTAAGTCTAAAAACCTACTTCGCAACCTTATTCTGATTCTGATTCTGATTCTGATTCAGGTGTTATCTTTCCATCAGTATGGAGTTATAAGAAGTGATTTGATGGCAGTCCCCAAAACCGAGACAGCACTGTCCAACATACGTGGTCTGTTTGCATATTACAGCAATCATCCTACATTAAAACGAACCATACAAATTTTTATAAAAGAATCTTATGAGAATGTAGTGGTTACCCATGCAGCCCTCTCCATTGGGCTGGCGCGTGTATCCGGGCAAACAGATGCACATGTAGGTACCGATGAGGTTCTTGCAGGTCATGCCCCTGCTGGAACAGTCATCTATGCCGTCCTCACACTCGTTCTGGTCTGGAGGACAGAAAACACACTTAAAACCGAGAGGATCCGGCGGTTTGAAGGGGGTCCGCATGATGCAACATGAGCGGTGATGTAAGCCAGACACTCACGCACGGCACTATAAAGTTTAATCTAACCGCCCAATCCGGCACTGGGCTCTGTAGTGCTAACAGGCGTGTAATGGAAGAGCCGGCGGTCTGTTTGGAGCTCTAATGTAAACGCTGACGCCATGGACGCCGACAGGATCCTCCTGCCTCAGTGCTTCCCTCCCAAACACGCCCGTTGCCGTGGACGACGGGGCTATCTGAGAGAGCGGAGGCGTAAACAGCGACTCGACCGGTTACCGTTTTTCAGACTGTTTTAACTCTCCATCCCAGACAGAAAGCCCTCCAGGATGTTGCTTAGATAGTGAGTTACGCAACTCTGAAGATGGGGCCAATATGTCTCGGTTTATTTTTCGACCGACGCTTGCCAGTAAGTGGAGCGCGCTCATTAGAGCTGAGCGTCTCGAGTGGCTTGTTTGGCCCGGTACCTTTACACATCCTCTTGTCCTCGCGCAGCACGTAGCCCGTGGGGCACTTGCACTCGTAGGAGCCCACCACGTTGACGCAGCGGAAGGCGCACAGCAGCGGGTTCTGGGCGCACTCGTTGATGTCTGGACAGGGAAACGGAAAGTCAAAAAAATCAGAAAAAAAAGACATATCCCGACCGTGGCGGGCGGGTCTTCGGGTACACTCTGACTCACCTTCGCACGACATCATGGGCCCCGGCTCGAAACCGTCGTCGCACGCACACTCGAACCCGCCGATGACGTTGGTGCACGTGCCGTTGCCGCACGGATTGCCGATGTCGCACTCGTTTATGTCTGCGGGAAAGAGAGTCAAACCAAGGTGTCACGAAAATGGCCTCATCAACAAGGCCAGCGACCCCCACCTATTCTTCTCCCACCCCCCTCTACCTCACCAACTTACCCAATGCTTCAGCATTTTCTGGTCTGTCGTTGCAGATCAACATTGCACATTTCAATTGTTCATTTGTACATTCGGATCTATATTTTTAAAGATTGTATTTTTCAGTTTTATCATTTCTGTCCTATATTTTTATTTCTACATTTTATTTTTTGCTTTTCATAGAAGTGTTGTGTACCAAACACCAAGGCAAATTCCTTGTAAGTCTAAAAACCTACTTGGCAATAAACCTTATTCTGATTCTGATTCTGATTCTGATGTCCACCCATTACGGGGACGATAAGAGAGAGAAGAGAAAAGTACCGGATTGAGATGTGGAGGCCCGCAGAATAGAACTAGAATATGTGGGAACGCCAAGAGGTGAATGGATGAAGAAGGAGAAGAAGCCAAAGAAAAGCTGAAAAAGACATAGAGTGGAAGGAAAAAGGCTGAAGGGAGGAATCATTTTAAAGAGCTGAAAACTAAAGAGTGGAACAAGAAAGGTAAAAGGATTAGAAGAAGAGTAAAGAGTAAAAGGCCATAAAATTATAGATAAGGTAAAAGAAGATTTGAACCGGCGACTTCTGGATCTGCAGTCAAACCACTGAGCTATACCTGAGCTATATTTGTTGCTCCATTCATTTCAATGAGAGGAATAAGGCATAAAAAGTCAAATATTTTAAAAAGTTGAAAAAATTCTAACACCAAAATTTCTGATTTAGCTGAACATTTTGATACCTTATTTGTTGAAATAGGCTTAAAGCTGTAGGAGTAGTCACACGCAGAAAAAACGTACGGAATATGGAATAATAAAGACAAACAGGAAAACAATAGCTTATTAATAATAGTTTTTATAATCCGACCAACCTTCACAGGTGACTCCGCTGATGTCCAGGCGGTAGCCCATGGGGCACTCGCAGCGGAAGGAGCCGTCTGTGTTGATGCACTGGCCGTTAACGCAAGGATCGTTCAGGCACTCATCAATGTCTGCAAGGAAGTTCACACGTCGTCTTAAAACGTGCCACAAAGAAAAGAAACAAGACTGCGTGGATCTCCTGTTAGCGGCTAACGTACCCTCCGGATGCTCGTGCGGCCCGTGCTGATAGCCCTCATTAGGACAGAGAGCACGATACTTCTCTGGAAGCAGGAGATGGGAGAATTAAAAAAGAAACTAGGGAGTAATATACACAATTCTGTTTGTGAGGTTGTGTACATGTGGTGGGTTTTTTGTCATATGTTCTTTATATGTTTTGTAGCTGCCTGATAGGAGGAATACACACCCTCTCCTTTGCTGGGGCAGATCTCACAGGGGTCTCCCCAGCCCTGACCGGGCATCCCCGTACAGCAGCACGCCTCCTTCGACGTGTTCTGGGCCTTCGGAGCCAGGCAGCGGCCATTTTCAAACTTGGTGTAGCAGTAGCTCACGCGGATGTCTGAGGGGAGACATGCATACATGTAAAAAATACTAATACATTATAGTAAAAATACAACGGAAGGTGATGGAAGGGTTTGAATCAATGAGCCGTTTTACTTTTGGATTTGAATAATTTAAACTTTTCACTTAAAACCCATTTCAAATGACAACAAATCCCCATTGAAGCTATTAAGATGTCGATATGAGGGGAATAGCAGAAACATTTCCTTTTAAAATCAAAACACTTCAAAAGATAAAATTGTCATTAAATTACAGATTATACAGACAATGTATGCACTTTCCAAGATCATTTTATGTAAATTAAATTCTCAACTAGATTACAATAAGTTAATTATTAACAGTTCAAGATGAGAAGAGTCTTTAAATGTTTTTTAAATCAAATATTTTAAGTCTAACATTAATTCAGCATGTTAAATGGAAATGAAAAGTGGCTACAGATAATTGTTTTAATATACTGTATATTGGACATCCAGTTGAAGTAATAAACACTTTGTGTCTGATTATTAGTTTGGGACGATTCTGGGCATTTTAAAGCTAAGTGTTGTCCAAGTTTTCTTCATTTTAAGAAACTCCAACCATTAAATCAAATTCTCTCCAAACGCTTGATGTGAAAGTAGATTTTATTTTGGGCTAAACTTTTCACCCAAGTTTCATTGGTCAGAACAATATTTTAGTTTAAACTATTCACCCGATAAAATTAAGTTGCCCTCTCCATTATAAAAACACCTCAAGAATCAAGATATTGACATTGTTTGATAGCCACAGACCTTTAAAGTCCTCTGAGTTGGGAGAAGGAGCTGGATCGGACTGAACTGCTTTTTTTCCGCACAAACCACAGATGCTGAAGTGGGCTGAGATTTAGTGAATTTGGAGGGCAAGTCAGGAATCGCACACATTTCATAATCTTCCACAAAAGCATTAACCTGTCAGACGAGGCCACCGCCATGTATTCCCTATACAGCTGCAACCAAAAGCTTTTCATTATCCGCCATATCATCCCAAACTAATCCTGGCTAACTTATCCAAAAGCTTCTCGGTTCTCTTTGGATGTTCACTGGTCTAATGAAGGTGAGGCCATGTTTCTGTATGACACCAAACCACAAAAGACAACTCACCGGATGTTCACCTTCTTCACAATAAAACCACTTCACTGGCAATTATAAGTAGATAATCATTTAAATTTACAACATTTGTGAGAGGATCAGGTTTTTAGAGCTCATTACACCCATGACATGAACAGATTTTAAAGAGGTGAGTAAAGTATCTGTGCCAAACAGGAGTCTATGTTAAAGCCGAGTCCAAGTTAGAGCTCGTGCTAATTTTTTTATACAGACGGAAGCATTTTGCTCTATATCAATCTAAAGAAAACAAGATTTTTTCTCTCTTAAATATAATAATTTTATTTTTTTCCTGAGTTTTTCACTGAGGGTCGAAACTTGGCTGATTATCTGTTCTCAGAGATCTGTGTTTGTCTTGTTCCTCCAGGACTAGGCAGGCACTTACTTGTAATGAGAAGCATATGGCCGCGCTCTCCTGCTAGCACTGGCCTTCAGTGATCTCAACACAAATAAGCTTTCTGACCACCATAGATCAAACACACATGCACGCACACCTGGCTCAGAGGCAAAGATCACATACGGAGACACCTGGAGCTGCGAGGAGAACGTCAAAGAGTGTCCTGTTACGTTCTGCCATCAAACCGATTTGTCAGCCTTTCTGTTAAGGAGATTGATAGCGCCCTGCGCACAGCTGTTTTATGACCACACACACATGTGGATCACCATCTACAAGACTTATCTCACTCGTGTAAGTGTCTCCAAGTTTGAGAAAAAACCCAAAAAGCCTGCTTTATAATCATGCCCACAGAAAAAACGTCCTGATGTGGTTTTTAAATCAAGAAATTGAGAATGATTCCTAAAAAAGAAAGCAAGAAAATTGAACCATTTCAAATTTAAACCTCGGAATAAAGAAACTCTGTGTAACACTGACCATGCTGACCAAAATGTTAGACTTGTAAGCGTGTGCATAATTATCAAATGGTCTGATTTACAAAACCACAACAGCCTAAAATTTAAAAACGCACCATTAATCAGAGAGCCGTGGCAGCCACGTGGTTAAGTCCCATTCCATTCACTTTCTTTGCACCATCCCAAGTTCGAACCCAGCCTTAAGCCTCGACTCCATGAGACTTTTTTATTCCTCTTCTCGGGTTTCTCTACTATCTGCTATCAATAAACACTCAAAGCTCCTTTTTCTTTTGAATGTGGTTGTTATCAAAGAGTGACCAAATTTGATTTATTACCGTCAATTCTCCCTGGCAGAGCGAATGTATAGTCATCCATCACTTTTGCTGGAGTGAGCTTTTTTCCAGGCAAGAGAGAAGAAATTGTATGTGCGTGAATGACGTGTAAAAAAAGACATCCCAACATATTTTTCTATAAGTGTTACACATATAAGTTGATCTATAAAACAAAAACAGTTCAAGCAACCACTCAATTTAAGCCCTGACCGCAGATAAATGTGAATTGTTGCTTATTATGATGAATAACTGCTGTTTTAGCCTAAAATTAAGCAAATAAACAAACTCGCTTTCCTAATGCCCATCTTACGTAAAAGAAACAAGCACCATACAAAAGCTTTATGTGCAACAGAGTTCAAGCTACAGTTGGGGATGCTTTTCTGAAGGAATTCTAATGAAATCTTTGCTAGGCTGCAGTCTGAATCTATTCAAGGCAAATGGAAAGGTTACAAGCTCAGCAGTTATTGCGTCTCATCATTGCAATACATTAAATTTTCTTTATTTGTTTTCTAGTATAGAACCAAATGTATAGATGAACCGATTCAACAAGAAAAATGTTTTCAAATCAGGTTTCTTCACGATTTCCAGCAAAGAAAAAACAGTCTCCACCCGGCTACTCCCGTTTGTTGCCCAACACTCTTCAGAGCCCCTTTTGCAGAGAAAAGTGAAATGCGAAATTGCGAAAACTGCCTCACTGGACTGATGAGGTCATCACTTCAGTGTTTGGAGAGGGAACTCCCTACCAGCATGCCCCCGCCCAACCCCAAAAAACTCGCATACATAAATGCGTGTGCATAAATGCGCTAAATAAACACACACACACACGCACACACACGAGTGAGGAAATGGAAAAGCAATCTGCTCAGAGCCACCCTTGGCCCTGTTAAGGCCGCGGCAGCAGAACCAGCTGGAACACGGTGTGCTATCATAAAAGACTTGGAAAAGTCCAACGCCACCGCCTGCTACTTAATCTCTCCCCTTTTCGGAGCAAAGTTTATGCGCGTTAAAAATGCACACTCTGTTACCTAAACATCTGCGTCCAGAAGCGGAGAGCTGGAAGCCTGGGGGGCACAGGCAGGTGAAGCTTCCCTCGGTGTTGGAGCAGGTTCCAAACGTGCAGATCTCCGGGGACTGGGAGCACTCATCGATATCTGACACACGGAGAAAAACCAACACTCATCATATTTCACATATCAAACAACAATGCGTTTGATTTACACTTTTTTTCCCCTTGAACGAACGTCCAATTTGCTGGGGTGATGTCTTAGCTGGATGTAAGTGCCTATTCCAATATCCAAATGCGCTCAGACAGAGTTAAATCACTTTAATGGATGGTGGGATAAAAAGGAATTTTATCTGGAGGATTCTCAGTGTCATGTATTCTATAATCTAAATGAACAGCTGCCACTGCTGCTCACAATTCATTCCAATTACTCCCCGTTTCCAGGAAGAGAGGACAAAGCAGGAATGTGTTGAAGTCTGCCGAATATCTCTTCATCAGCCTTACTGTATAAACAATCCGAGTGTTCTGGCTTGGGCCCATTCCCACGTGTGAAAGGGAGAAGAGGGGTGTGTGTGTGTGTGTGAGGGGGAAGGAGTTGGCGACATTTTCTTTTTCCCGAGTCTAAGCCGAGATATGTGCATGTGTCTGTGAGAGTGAGGGCTTTTTTTTGGGACGCGAGCCCGTGCTCTCTGCGGTCAAATTCACCCCGTGTAATGTTCATTTTTTCAAATTTTGGCCCATCGGCCGCCGTACCTTCGCAGGTTTCCTCGTGCAGATAGTAGCCGGGCGGGCAAATACACCTGTAGGAGCCGTCCATGTTCACGCAGGTTCCCACGCCGCACGTGCCCGGGTTCACCGCACACTCGTTGATATCTGAGAGGGAAAAGAAATAAAACGGTGTCATGAAGGTGGGTTTTGACGGAGGACTCGGGTGCGGAGATGAAGGAAAAACAAGGTTTATTGTAACAAAAAACAGAGTGAATGTCCAGACAAAGTAAAAATCAAAGCTGTGGAAAACTGTGAGCAAAGTAACAAAGCAATAAGCAAACAAGACTGAGGCAAAACTATGACTGTGACAAAGTAGCAAAATAACGATTTACAAAACTGTGACAAGACTGTGACTATGGCAAAGTAAAAGACTATGGCAAAAACAAACCTGGCGTGGGGGTGACGAAAAACGGACGGACAAGAACGCACTCGCACAAGACAAGGGGAAACTAGGACTATTTAAACACACGAGGGAGGGGAACCCCAGGTGTACACAATAGGTAATCAAGACAAGACGATACACCAGACGTGACAAACGGCAACAATTTTTTTTTAAAAAAGCCAAGGCGAATTGCGCTAGGAAACTCTGGAACTACAAAATGGGATGCCCCTTACCGACGCACAGTCTGCCGTCCAGCGTTAGCTCGTAGCCGTCGTTGCACTCGCACAGGAAGCTGCCCACGGTGTTCAAACACTGACCGTTCCGGCACAGGCCCCTCTGGGTCGAGCACTCGTCCACGTCTGATCAAAACCAGAAGCACCAGAGAGCATCAGTCAACATCGACTTCCTACCATGCTTCATATTTGATTTCCTGAGGGAGTCTTCCCAAGGGATCGATAAAGTACAAGTCTAAGTCTAAGTGATCCTTCTCACCCTGGTCACAAACCTTTGGAAACCCTCCCCTCTGGCAGAAGGTTGAGAACCATCAGGACCAAAACCTCACGCCATAAAGAAAGTTTTTATCCAGCAGCAAGTGGCCTCATCAACGAGGCCAGTGACCCCCACCTATTCTTCTCTCACCCCCCTCTGCCCCCACTAATTTACCCAATACCACGTTCAACTTTTTCTGGTTTGTCGTTGGACATTCAATATTTCATTTGATTATTTATTATTATCATTATTATTTATTTTATTTTATTCTATATTTTTATACTTTTATTTCTACATTGTATTGTCGTTTCTTGTTCTCGTAGAAGTGTTGTGCACCTAACACCAAATCAAATACCTTGTAGGTAAAAAAAACCTACTTGGCAATAAACCTAATTCTGATTCTGATTCGGATTCTGAAAGGGGCAGACGCCCGCCCCGGAAACCCTCACCGATGCAGTCGCCGTTGTGCGAGTTCTGGAAGCCCGGGTAGCACAGGCAGTTGTAGGAGCCCACCGTGTTCTTACAGGTCCCGTTTCCACAGGGCTGTCTCTCGCACTCGTCCACGTCTGCAAAAACAGAGAGCGGTTTGCTCAGACGGCGCTCCCGTTTTTCTCACCGCCCTCCGAGCGGGGGAAAGAGCCGGCGGGGGGCCCGTACCGATGCACATGGACTGGTCCCGGGTGGGTTTGTAGCCGTTGGGGCAGATGCAGCGGTAGCTCCCCAGGGTGTCGATGCACTGGCCCGGGTTGCACACGCCCGGGTTCTCCATGCACTCGTTACGGTCTGAAAAAGGTGGGGAAAGCGGTGGAATGGTTTTCAATCCTTCTCTGGCTTTCTCTGGCTTTTTGTTTTTTCAAAGTTTTCAGTACAGCATTGATAACACAGAACAGTTCGACATAGAGAGCAGTTGGCAAAAATGCAGCTTGTTGAAAGTAGCGAGGAATCGTGAACCATTTTGAAGCACAGCACACTTTACCCCGTAGGAGTCCCATTTTGACCAAAGTTTGTGAAAAATGTCAAGTTTCAAGTGAATTGTAAAAGTCATTTGTTCCATGTTTCTTATTTCAGTCATGATTTCAATCCAGTTTGAAATCGTGGGGGCTGACTGTGTCATCCATTTCTTAGTTATGGCCTTCTCTGTCTTTTTAAATGAAAAATACATAGCATAACCATCTCTGCTCTTTCTTTGAAACAGTCTATTAACTGCTTGTGGAGGGGGGCGTGGTGCCACCTCCCCTCCATCTATACATCTCATTGTGTTTTGTAATTGTTATGGTGTGTTTTTTTTTTAAATAAGTGGAATTAGTCCTCCTGCTTCTGGAGAAAAAAACTTGCTTTTCTCATGTCAATCACATCACAAATTCTAAAATCTCAGAATTTAGCTCTAGAGCTCTTCAGATATATTGAAGCAATATGATTGGATGTTGGAGACATGCTGGAGAAATGCCCTGGCTAAGACAGATAGCAGCGAAATCCCCCAGAGCTACACAAATAGATATATGAAGTATTAAAGATATACAACTATTTCACTGTGACAAATACGGCCATTCCGTCACTACGTCTGCAGACAGATTTACCTACTGTCATTAAAAAAAAGAAAAGGGATGAACTCTCTGTTCGAGCACGGTGCATAGTTTGAGCTATACATCATTTAAAAAACGTCCCTAATTTTTTTGCTTGAGGAAGTTCCAGAGTTCAAATGGAGCACAACATCGTGCTGCTTTTTCAATTAACTAAAAAATAGCTGCATCTATGTTTTGGGAGAAAAAAACAGCTTCTGGTGCGCAAAGAGCATTAAGTCAACATCCCTTTGAATTTTCTCCTTTACTATCTAACACATATAAAAATTAGGTAATAAGAAAATTATTCAAATCTTTTAGTCTAATTGTTAATTTGATCTGTTGTAGAAGTTATTAGATCTATTATTCACCATCACATTCCAGCAAACACACACAAATTGGTAAGCAATCTCCTTTTGGAGTAATGTTTTTTAATTGACCTGATATATCTGACATTTACTCACCAATCTCACTGACGCCTTGTTGGACTTAAATAACTGGAAAATGGCCGTATATATGTATACAAATATGTATATACTGTATACTGTATATACAATGTACTGGATTGAGTTAAATGAACAACCCTTCACCTCATGTTGCACAAAATTAAAAAAAAGAAAAGTTAAGACTGTTTGAATAGCTGTCATGAGTCAGTACTGCACATTTTTGGCCCAATAGCACAGGAAGCTGGCCAGAATGACAGCCATGCAAACTGTAATTCAAATGAGGTCATAAATATGTCCCTGTTTTGGGTCAGTCTGCTCTCGGGCCAGAGTTTTAGTTTCCCTGTTTGCTCAGAAGAGTCTGTTTTGCTCTTCTGACGTTCGCGAAACGCAAGGAAACAAAACAGGATGTTGATTTAACATCTACTTTATCGGTCAGGACTCTCCAGAGCGACGGGCACACGCTTTCGGATCCGGAGCAGCACATGCTCAACAGCTCAACACATGCTTCGCATTCTCTCCTCCCTAATAACAAGCCCACCATGGAGAAATTCTCCCTCCGAGTGTCACTGTGCCTGCCTCTGGTGCTTTATCTTTGGCGTGTCACTGGCAGGGAAGCACAGTTCAAAGAATTTCACAGAACTGGGCCAGACAGCACGAGGCCACAGGAAGACCAGGAAAATCCAGGAGCCCTTCTCAGGGAAGACAGCAGCTCTTTGGCAACTTTTTCAGATCTTCTCTTTAACTCATTCGCTGCCAAAGACGTCTATAGACGTCAATTCAAATCCAACCGCTGACTGCCAAAGACGTCTATAGAGGTCTTTTATGTTTTTCAACGCGAGTGACTTGGGGGACGATCTGCTAAAGCTTGTCCGTAAATATCAGGCTTCTAGACAGAGTATGTACTAACAAATTGACCCTCTAGGTGGCAGTGCCACTTTTGATGGGAGATGAGCATAGATTGTAGGCAAATAAAAAAAAACGCAATGGTTCGCTATGAGAAAAATGGCGCTGGTGAGACGCAAGTCGAGGAAGAACGGAATAAGGTAGAAACAAAACATTTTTCCTGATGAAAGAAGAGAGTCTACTCTTTCTTTTGGTGTGTTCGGTGTATACATAGTCATAGCACAAACTATTCTGTGGCTCTTGAAAAATCAGTCAAAATGCTCAAAAAACTCTGGCAGTATGGGACTCTCTGTTCTGAAAATGGCTGGCAGTCAATCAGTTAATCTACTTTGCACACAGCTCATTACGGCCACACCTGAATGAATAACCACTGACATTAACATAGTTCACGTGTGGGTAAAGTCTTACCTTGACACTGTCCGGTGGGGGTGAAGCGATACCCAGATTTACACTCGCAGCGGTAGCTTCCGGGCATGTTCAGACAGTCGGCGTTCTGCTGGCACACCGGCCCGTTCTGACACTCGTCGATATCTGACAACATTAGAGCAGTGGGGTTCAAGCATTTGCTGACCAAACCTGATAGAAATTCATCTATTTTGGGCCTCTCAGGTCGGGGCCTCACCTTCGCAGATCAGCAGCTTGTCGTTGTAGAAGAACCCAATGGGGCACTCGCACCTAAAGCTGCCGATCATGTTGATGCACACCCCGTTCTCACACACTCCGGGGATTTCCCGGCATTCGTCGATATCTAGCGCACGGCGACCAGGCGAGGTTAAAACACAGGCAAAAAAACTTTGAATTTGATCCCACAACCTGCCGAAAAGAGAAGTCTTACCGATAACCCTCCCAGTGGTGATGTCGATGTAATATCCTGGTCTCTCGCTGCCACAGAGGACGGCAAAATCATCTGAGGATACGCAGAACGTGAGCGAATCAAAGCCCGTTTTTGGGTTCTCAGGTACAGACAAATGTTTGGAGACTGACCGGTGCTGGGCACTGGACACTGCTCGCAGGGCTTGTTCCACGCGCGGCCAATGTTGTAGGAGCAGCAGCACATCTTTTTGGTCATGTTAAAGGTCAGCTCTCCGTCGCACGTCCCGTTCTCCGTGTAGAAGTTCCTGTAGCAGTAGCTCTTCCTCATGTCTGCGCGTTTAGGGGAAATAGCGAGGCGAATGAAACAAAAAAAAACAGGAGAAAGACGCGGCGTTTTGCCGCTGGACCGTGGCCCGGCGGCCAGACTCACCCATGCAGTTGTTCCCTCCGTTGACCTGCATGTAGTCCACGGGGCAGATGCAGGTGTAGTTGCCGATGGTGTTGTAGCACTGGCCGGGCCCGCATATTCCCGGCTGCTCACACTCGTTGATATCTTAACACACGGACAAAAAAAAAAAATGGTTTCTTCACGTAACTTTTGTTGCTTCTGTGCTTTCACAGATCAATAATTAATAAACCCAAAATCTTCTCCCAACACTCTCATTACTTATTACTAATTTATTGGAATTTAGTTATTGTTCTCGCATTGTTATTGTCACTTATTTTAGATCTCTATATATATATATAGTTACACATGTATAAATGTATTTGTATTTTGTGTGGAATATTGTATATGTATAGATATGTATATATGTATATGCTGTTGTTATTGTGGAGTTAGTAAAAAAAATAATTTCCCCCTGGGATTATTAAAGTATTTCTGATTCTGATATTTGTGTAACTGCATTTATAGCCAAAAATATGATAATTCCACAAACAATTATTTCATTAAGCTGTCATAACAGTGTATGTTTTATTTTAATGTGCTTCTATTCATGTGATTGTTGCCCACCAGTTTCCTGCCATTGGGGATCTATGTAGAAATTATGAAAAAGAAAATGGAAATTTCCAATCCCCTCCTGAAATCAGATGTTGAACACCTGAGGTAATATCACTGGACTTTAAGAATCCCACTTTTATATTGTTGATATTACCTGAAGGAGCCTTTTCTCTGATTACTAACCATCTTTATTTCCACAGAAACAATTAGCAATGAGGAAAATATTTTCTAACAATGTCACTGCCACTGATATCTTCAGATATCTTCTTTCTCCAAGGCTTAAAATGAGTTCTGTACCAAAATCAGAGCGAAGTAGCAAAAACTGTGTTTTTCCTTGTTAACCAATTAACATATATATACATATAACATACAGACGCGTATACTGTCCAACTCCCAGACTTCTGATTTACTCTCCAGTCCTGCTTTTCTTCTCTAAACACTTCATATTTGTCTTGTTCCCCCATATCTTTCAACCCTCCGTGTTCCCCTCCCTCCATTATTTCTGACTCATCCCATCGGGGGCTCCGTGTGCTTCGCTGAGAGGAGAAAGCTGACCACATCAGAGCCGGTCCTCTGGGCGGTGTGAGGCTGCGCTCAGCTGCTTCCCTGCCCTCGCTCAGCTTTGCTGCCTTAGGAACAGATGGGAACTAGAGCAAATAACATATCGCCCCGTCCAATATTTCTTTGTCTTTTTTTTTTTGCTTTTTTCCCCCTCCCGCTCCTCCTCGTGTCTCAGAGCGGATGGACTCAATTTCCTTCCCGCGGAAAGGTCCCAGGGCGAGAGACGGAGAGGGACGGGTCACCTGTGGGGACCGTGGGGCTGCCCAGAAAAAAAAAACACGCAAATGCTAAGTACCTTCACAGACTCTGGTGTCCGGGTTGAGGGCGAAGCCCCGCGGGCATTCGCACTGGAAACTGCCGAAGGTGTTGATGCACTGGCCCCCCTGGCACAGCCCCGGCAGCTCCTGGCACTCGTTGATGTCTGCTCACAGAAGCAAAAGGAAAACACCTCAGGGCTGTGTATAGCGCGTTCCCAGCGCGTTGCACATCAGAGCGTGTCTCTGTCTGACCTTCTAAGAGCACGGTGATCGGGTTCGGCCTGAAGCCCTCCCCTCCGGGACACAAGGTCTTGTACTCAGCTGAAACACAAAAAAACGTCAAATTACCACAAACGACGACTACAACGACACGATGAAACAGCAACCCGCAAACCGAGTTTGTCTGATATGGAGGTGCTTAAATGGAGCTACGTGTGCAGTTTATGAAATTCCTCAAACTAGAGGGCTTTCCCTCTAAGTAGTCTCTGATCTGAGGGGTTTTTTCTGCGGAGCTCAGACAGCCGGACATGACTGCAGCCACTCAGAATTACAAAATAAAAAGGAGAAGAGGAAAAAAACCAATGCTCTCAGCACAGAAGCAAGAGCTAAAATGGATGAGTCATTGCCTGTAATGTTTTGAAACCATCTGGTGGCAATTTTCAAAGCAAGTTGCACAAAGCTGTCTCATCTTTACCAGCAACAACAATTAGAGCAAACGCTCATCGCATGACAAGAGAAGTCCGCGTGTGAGTCGGTTTTTCTGGCAGAACAGCTAACTCACACCTTATGAGGCCTGATTTACTTTAGCTAATAGCTGACATAGAAAGAGAAAAACCTTTATTCACTTCAACAGGATTAAGGGCAGGAGGTTTTCTCTGATCTATGATGCAAAAGAGCTCCAAAGGGGCTGTTGCACTTAAATAACTTTCCCACCAATTCCTATTTCTAAATCTTTCGCCACTCACATTTCTGACCAGGACGGTGTCCTTCAATGCTCCTGATGGCTTAACTTTCAGTTTTTTGGGATATCATGATGAAATTGTGATTCATGGATTCATCACTAATGCAATTCACAAGAACTAACATATTAGCACGAGATGAAGTGGGAGAAACTGAAAGTCTTTCGTTTTACAAGCATGTTACTCATATAAAGATCAAATCTAACTTACATTAATCGATTTTTAAACAGTGCTGACTCACTTGAGTTGACGGAGGGGCAGTATTCACATGGCGTTCCCCAACCTTTGCCCTTAGAGCAGCAGCAGGACGCCTTAGAAACCCCGATGCCGATCTCATTGGAGCAGACCAAATTTTCCGAGGCGTCGCCGCGTGGACGGGCCTCCAGGTAGCAGCTCCCGGAGCGAGTGTCTTTTCTCACACACACAGACACTCAGATGTAGGCTTTTATTTGGGATAAGCTGCGTGCTGAGCTCATAACAAACACGGACAATTTGTAGGGGCAACAATTGTCGAATCTCACCTACACAGCCCATCCGATTGGGGCTGAGTTGGAAGTCTGGGGGGCAGTTGCAGAGGTAGCTTCCAGCGATATTAACACACACTCCATTGATACAGTTGGTTGGCTGTAAACATTCATTGATGTCTGCGGAAAAATACATAGAAACGCGCGTATAAGCTTTTATTAATTTTCCTTTATTAAACAAATCAGTTATTTGCCATGACAGCAAAGAGAGGATCTGGTATTTATCCATTCTTTTAGGGATGCCGCCTTGTCTTACCTGTGCAATTGCCTCGACTCCTGTCCAGCTCATAACCCGGATTGCATTCACATCTAAAAAGTCCCGGGATATTCTGGCAGCGTCCGTTCACGCAGATGCCGGCAAACGTGCATTCATCGATATCTGCGGGAGAGACGGAGAGAGAGGAGACAGGAAGCTCTGATGAGGCACGAGCGCACCGCTGGGTAACTGTGGGAAAACTGCCAGTCAACCACAGGAAGTCACCTCTGACAGTTCTGAGACAGAAAAAAAAAAAAAAAAAAGGCCCAGATGCATCCTCGCTGACCCACACGGACATCAGACGCTCCGGCTAATTCTGTCCTGTGCTGACACAGGGAGGACCCGGCAGGTGGACTCAGGATGTTTGACACATCTGCGCGATGAGTCCAGCAATATATAAAGATAATTGGTCTAATTGGTCGGCATTCAATCTTACATCATCGTCAACCTTTTTTTCGACTTATGAGTCATTTGACTGCAGACGAGTCCTGTTTCCACTACCAAAATATCAAACGGAGAGTTCTGTTTGCTCTCAGGGGTCGAAGCCCAGTCCTGTTTACACACTTTTCATAGACTCTCTGAGTCACCTGAGCGAGAGCTGCTCATCGGTGGTCGGAAACAGATCGAATTATAGCGCAAGCGTCACCGTCGAATGTTTGACGAGAACCACAAGTTTAATCGCATTAAGCGTGGAGACGTTACTGTCGCCATTGTTTCCACTGGAACCATCGCCAGTTTGGCAGCGCCGATCGTCCAAATTCCTGCATCCTTTCCATAACAACCGTTCCTCCTTCCTTTGTTTAGTCGGATGCAAAGTCAGATAGAACTGGGCCTCCTCAGCTCGCTTTTAATGTGGATATTAAAAGTTCTGAGTGATGCCAAACACGTTCAGCTAACAGGGACAAAATCAATATCTTAGCTATGATCATTAATAAACGATATTTATCTGGTAACAGGTAATCAAAGCTCTGAAAAAACAAGCATTTGACTAAATCTGATGCTGAAACTCAAAGACTAAGGTTAATGGGTCGTAGAATATTCGCAGGACCGAAACCCCTTTGATACTGAACATGTTGTTCACTCCCCCGAGTACAAAAATACTAAGTCATGGGGTCTATTTGAAGGCGGCGTCTGTCCGGATCTGTTGTGTCTCCAAACGGGAAAACAAACAGCCATTCAGAGGAGGGAATACCACAGCTTCTTTTAATGACTTGACAAAATTTCGGACGCGAGCGGAGAGTCGGAGGCCACGGAATCGGGGCGGCTATATTTAGCCTTCGCTTACCCTCGCAGGCCTTCCCGTCCACAGTTGAGATGAAGCCCATCTCGCACTCGCAGCGGAAGCCCCCCGGCACGTTCAGACAATGGCCGTTCTCACACAAGTTGGTGTTCTCCGTGCACTCGTCGCTGTCTGCAGGGGCGGCAGAACACAGCGGGCATTCAGATCCATTTCAGAAAAAATAACAGGGCGGGGGAGGGAGGGGGTTGAAGGGTCGCGGTTTGTTCGTTTGACCTGAGCAGTAGAATCCGTCCCCGGAGAATCCCTCCTTACAGGCGCAGCGATAGGAGCCCATGGTGTTGAGACAGTCGGCGTTGTTGCTGCACATGTGCGTTCCGTTCGAACACTCGTCCAGGTCTAAAGCCCCCAAAAAACAGTAAATTAGTATATCTATGACATAATCAACCTCACAGCAAATCAACCTCTGTCCAGTGTTTGAGGAATATTCTCCGAATATTCTCCATTTTATTAAGGACAATGCGTGATGAGTGCAAAGTAACTCAAAGAAAATGCGGTTCTAAGTTCTCCAAACGCTCCCATTGGAGCTTATTAATGGATGTCTTGACAAAAGTTTCTGTTCATATATTGCCTTGTTATTTTTCTCTGTTTTGATCTAAAGGGTTTTTGTGTATTCTTGGAACTATATAAATGCAGGTTTGAATGGTGAGTGCATGAGTGAAAGTGAGTGTGTAAAAGTACATGTTACAATGTCAAGTTTGTTGTCCGTAGGTTTGTTGTGTTAAAAAGAGAAAATTCAATCAAATATATTGGAGAAAAAAAAACAGGCTGTAAACAGCTATCCATGAATATTACCATTTGTTACGACCATTTGATTGCAAAAGGTCTATTTGGTATAAAAAGTATTTGGATTTGGGCGCAGTCCAAAAAAAAGTCAGAAATATCTAAATATCAAGCAATATTCTTTCACGTATACTGGAGTTACCTGTGCATTTGAGGCCGTTTCCAATCCACCCTGTGGCGCAGTTGCATTTGAAGCTGCCGGCTGTGTTGGTGCAGGTCGCGTGCCGGTCGCAGTTGTGCGCTCCAATCTCACACTCGTTGATATCTAACAAGGAGGGAACGAACAACAGGCCATGTAAAGGAAGCAGAACAGCCCCGATGGGCCGTTGATCGGGTCCGTTCTTTCATTCCAGCGGGGTTCTCGGCTCTGTGGTGCTTGGAGTGAATCGTATAAAGCTAGCAGCAGGAGAAAAGGCGACACAGCTAAGTCTGTCTGGCTGACTGTTTTTATCCTTGGATAAAACAGCCATTTATTTCAGGACACGAGACACAGGAATTCTTGTTGTATGTGATATGAATAGCCATACGACGAGGCGCTAATGGGGTGATATTCATTGTCCAAGAGTGTTCAGAAAAGTTATGAAAAAGGCCATCTGGGAGAGCAATAGACCAATTCACAGGCTTCACTCCGCCTGAATTTGGATCACTGAGGTTATTTTAAACATGGATTTTCTCCTCACTTACACTCTCCGTCTCTCACGAGGCTTTTGAAAAAAAATAAAAGGTCTTTTAATCCTCATGTCTGCTCTTTTTCGTTCATCACCTCAGATGTGATATTCTGTAATGTAATCTTTCTAAAACAGAGTCTGCATAAAACAAGATTTGGTAGGTTTCCATCGGCATAAGTAAACATCCCCTTCACAGCAAAACCATATCAAATCTGTCTGAGCTCTTCCAGTGGAAGAAGCCCACTGCATAATATATGCAAACCTGCTGTGAATGTCCCCTGAACTCTCACAAGTGAGTGAAATATTGGGAACACTTGCCATTGGCTGTTAATCAACTCTGCCCTTCCTCTGGGGGCCGTTTACTTCCTGCCCTGAAGGTTCTGAATGTGCAACACTTCGTTCTCGGGCGGCTTTGGTACGGTCAACAAACTCTAACAATAGAAAAACTGCGGCACAACAATGATGGCTGCTAATCGGAGCCAGAAAACCTTGTGAAACGACACAATAACTGACCCTGAGTCTGTTGAGCGTTGGGGCTTTGATAAAAATAACTTTTCGAGGTGTGTGTGTGTGTGTTGGAGTGCGTGTCGCTGAGGCGTGTTCCTACACATCAAGGGAGCCCTCGCTCTTCATCAAGACGAATCAGCCAATGAGATTCACTCCTATCTGTGTCTGTCTCTGTGAGGGTAGTAATTCCAAACTGTCGATTAGAGATTACAGCGCAGCTGGTTTACAGCCTTCCTGAGGAGAGGGTATGGTTTATTTACACTGCATTTGATGACGGGGTTAATATGAAGGCCGGGACCAAATGAATCTCCCCGGATTACAGACGGAATTAATCACACCGCCCCCAAAGTCTGTGATCAAAGAGAGCACAGCAAACACACACGTGAGGAAAAGCGAAGTGCAAACAAGTGACGGCCGCGTGTAAGGAATGTGTCAGCGGTTCCAGCTGGTGTCAAAGTGGAACTTTGATTTAATTAGGATAATGTTTGACAGGCGAAATAAACTCCCGAAAAGGGATAGCAGAGAATTATACATCCGCCTGCCTGCTAGCTGTCTAGCTGTCTCTGAGTTTGTATGTCTGCCTAATTGCCTCTTTGTGTATCTGTCTGCCTGCCCGTCTCAATTACTAAGATCTTCGTATTTGGCCATACATATGAAGGTCTTATTTTTCTCTCTATTTCTGTGCCAAGGTAAGAATACTTTAGGGATAGAGTAAGCAGGATCCCCTTTGAACAACATTAAACATTTTAGAGAGGTGGATCATGGAGAAAAGAAGAATCAGTTAAACTCTGGTGCACATTTGGACCACTTTTACTGCAACTACATAGGTGAAAGAACGCAGTACATATGTATTCTAGTGCCTAGTTAATTTATTTAACCTGATATGTTTCTGCATAATTATGTTTTTTGTTCTTACCAAAAGCTTTCTGGTTACTACTTGGAGAATGTTGGAATTGAGCCTTGTGAGGATTTCATTTCCAGTACATCAAGGGAGGAATGAACAGGTACTAGGGCGATGATAAGTTTCTACACTTTACTCAAAGGGTATGTGTTATTTTTACAGTATTCATCTCCTTACTTGGTTTCCAAACAGCTGAGATGGCTAGAATGCTTAGTTGATGACTGTGTTTCTTCAATCAGATATCCTCGAGCAACCGTACAATATAAGGCCATGTTTACAACATCGGAAACTGGATTTGATCCTGAGGCATTTCTAGCATTTTAAAACCAGAACATCCCCACCCAGTCCAAAACTTTTATGAGACGCATGCAACGACACAACAGCGCTGAACTGTGCTCTCGGAATAAAAGAGAAAAACAAATCCCGTGGGAGCTTCATCGACAGATGGATCAGATCTGGGCTTTAGAGCCCCACACACTCATTAACGCTCGCAGAAAAGAGGGGAGAGATTTCATACATACCAACATGCTAACATAAGGCAACTCAAAGAAGAGAAAGGATCTCGGGCAATTTCGTCCTAATATACTACATGGTGATCTATTCCAAAAAGAGTAGCAGGTTTTGGTTCGCCTCTCTATTTGAGGACATCCTGCCTGGCTGAGAGAAATTAAAGTCTTGATTTCTTGGTCTGGGGCTGAAATTCCAAACGAGTGATTCAGAGGCGACTGCCGCACCAGCTTTCTCAATACAGGGAAAATACCGTGTGGACATTTTAATGGGGGTAGAATGAGCTAGGGTGTGTGTGTGTGTGTGTGTGTGTGTGTGTGCGCACGCTGTTGTTTGTGAACAAGCGGGGGGGGGAGGAGAGTCAAACTTCAGGCCAACCTGTTTATTTGCGTCTGACCCAACGCGTGCTTCTGCAGTCTGACTCACTCCGAGACGAGGCCAGATAAAAAATCAGCGACTAGAGCCTAATCAAACACTAAGCGGCGTTATAAATCAGGCTTAATTCCCCCGACGGATGACAAGGCGGGGTCCGGGGGCAGCGCACGGCTCCGGCGGCCGCCGGGCCGGACTTTTCTGTATTTATGTGTTCTGGAGCCGCCGCAGGTGATTACGCGCTGCGGAACTTTCCAACCATCACGTAATGTTTAACCGATCTTAATGAAAGAGCAACACCGAGATAAACAAAGGTGCGCACATCTGACGGCAGATAGTGATCTCACTGGCTCCCGCCGCTGCCGCGGATGTTGCATGTGTGTGTGTGTGTGTGTGTGTGTGTTAGCGTAAGCGCGTTAGCGGGCATGTTTCTCATCAGGTCGGACAGGAGCTCTTGAGTGAGCGTGAATAATGAGCTGTCGGAGCTTCTGCTGGTCGGGCCAGTGCGTCTCCTTTCATCCTCTAATTTCTCACCTCTCTTATTTTGAAGCCCTTTCAGACACACACACACATACAGACACACAAGCCCACCTCGCTGGGCCTTTATGCAGCAGCGGAGCATCACTGGTTCGCACATACACACCTTTACTCTGGCCTCACTCACCTGTGCAACCTGTTGTTCCCTTGCGTACCGAGTACCCCAGGTCACAGTGGCAAATAAAGGATCCCTTCGTGTTCTCACAGTTCCCACTCAGACAGATGTTCGGGTTCAGCTCGCACTCGTCCACATCTAGACAGGGGTGGAAAAGCAGAAAGGGGGGGGAAACAGACCGATGACGAATGTTAAGTCGGATAAACAAAAAGCTACCGCGAAGAAAAAGCTTTAAGACAATCAATAAAAGCTTTTGTTGATTCTGCCCCGAGAAAAAACATAACATCTGAAAGCCAGTCACGGAAGAATGACATCATGAAGTATATATTGAGGCTATAAAAAGGTGTTTACTTTGAATAAATACAGTAATAATAGAGTGGGTGTTTGTGCAAACCCCATTTAGGCGTCCTTACATCACGGACGTCAAGCTTTTGTTTTCTCACTCAGTGGAACCAGACGTCTAAATGTCACACATTCCTCCCCCGCTCTGCCAAGCTAACACAATGTTCGCTATCTTTTGAATCAACAACAACACTACTCCCTTCTCTCTGGGGCGCAGACCCACAGATCTGAGTCACCGGACCCGATTTTTCTCATGACTCATGTCTCGGAAAACCTCGACGGCGGTCGTTCGGCTTTAAATTTCCAGCTTCAAGTGAGAATCGGTTTACCCAGACAGGTCTTCATGTCTTCAGATGACATGAAGCCGTCGAAGCACAGGCACTGGTAGGTCCCCGGGGTGTTGGTGCACTGGCCACCGTCACAGATGTCAGGGCTCTCCTCGCATTCATCGATATCTGAGGGATGAGTGCAGAAGGGGGGAATCAGACATGAAAGCAAAGAGTAGGACAGCAAACGTTAAATCTTATACAAATGAATGCAGAGATTACAAAAAGAGACAGTGCTACATCATGCACATAGGTACTGGTGAACTACGAGTTTACAAAAAAAGCTTTATTTCTACTTTATTTCTAGATAAAAGCCAGTTTGAAACGACATTTGTGTTTTTAAATGAGCATTAATCCCAATGAGCCTTGGCCGGATATCTGTAGTAATCGAATAAATGAGTCAGTCAGACTATGCCCAGCACATTAAACCTGCTGTCATCCCCGCAAATAAACGCCTTTAGACGCTTGAAAGAAGTCCTGGGAAACTCTGCCAGCAGACACCACCTGTCGCCGCCCGTCCACTTATCGGCCCAAAGGATGGAAATTCTTCCGACTCCACTTTAACCCTTTGAGCGAACACAGTCCCTAACCATGTGCTAGCCAGATCCCAGCTGTGTCTGTCTCTTGTATATACAAAATTTTTCACGATGTGCTCCGTCTTTGCCGCTCTTTGGTCTTCGTGTCTAAACACGAGCGCTGCGGCGCGTTCGCGGCACCATGTGTGAGAAATTCTGAGGCACAAAACGTGTTTGAAACGCGGAAAAAAAAGAAAAAAAAAAAAGCGAGGGGAAAAAACACGCCACGGCATCTCTTAAAGAATAACATGCAAGTCGTGATCAAAAAATCCAGATGGCAAAGCAATTTTGCTCAGCATTGCACGGTACGCAGATTTCAGTTCTACTACCATAATGCTGAACAGGACAAGGTAAAAAAAAAATAATAATAAAAAATGTTGAATAAACAGAAAAGAAGGGGGGACAGAGAAGAATTTAAACTTGAAACAGACCTGACAAGCACCACTTGAACAAGGCGTTGTTCTGGCTTATCTCTGGCAGACTATCTTTGTCCCATCTAATCAGTGTCACTGTGTATCTGATGAACATTAACACTTGTATTTCTTTTATTCTGTTGCTTTAGGATACCAACAATAGATCTATCAATCATGTATCATGACCGACAATGTAGGTCAGAGAAGAATGGTACTTGAAAATATCCCCTTCAGACTGCTGATGTTCATTCTTTGTTCATTTGTTGTCATTTTAATTTTAATTTACTTTAATCTCCTGATGTACCATTTTTTTCACAATCTAAAGCAAGATGGTTAAAACATCACAGATATACCTTAAAAATCAGAATAAAACACATAAAACAAACAAAAAAAAAAGGCCAGATGTTCACCAGTGCAGGTCCTCAGATCGGGCATCAGGGCGTATCCACTCCGGCAGCTGCACTCGTAGCTTCCCTCGGAGTTGGTGCAGAACGTCTCGCAGCCGCCGTTCTCGATCGTACACTCGTCGATGTCTGAGGGGGCCAAAAACACACAACCCATCGGCATGGTGGCAGGAGCCATGTCTCGATTCAGCAAAGTCAGGGATCACGTACCGACACAATCCAGCCGGTCCTCGGTGGACTTGTACCCGGTGTTGCAGGAGCACTGGTAGCGGCCGACCATGTTGACACACTGACCGTTCCTGCACAGCCGGTCACTCAACTCACATTCGTTGATATCTGTGAATCGAATAAGCAGTCGTTCAATTTCTGTATAATAAATGTGCAGTAACTTTTGTAGAACGGAAGAATTAACAATGACCAGCCATGATAATATAAAGATATATAGAGCAAAAAAGCCCTCCGATTCTTGATCATGGAACATTTGATAGCAAGAATTAGATTTAGAGTTGACTTAAAGATGTAACAGACTAATCTGTTACTTTCTAAGAAAATAAAGAATTACATTTCAAAAGGTGTTTGTACCGGAGGAGGAAAATACTGTCTGTAAATGGTTTGGAAAAAACCCTGCAGCATTCGGCCCCGGCCGCAGACCAACCATCAGGGACTGACCAGTACTGAGGTGCTAAAATCCAGCCTTTGAGAGATAGCGTGGCTATAGCATTCCTCATACGGATAACAGCACCCATTTAACGGCGCTTTTCAGCCGACGGTGGTTTTCAAACCGAGTATCTGTGCTCCATCAGCACAGCAGCGTGTTTGCTGTGATAGAGTTAAAAAGAAATGCCAGGATAAGTTGCAACTGCTTCTAATTCTACGTTGTAAAAACACTGGGCAGTGCCCACCTTTAGCTGGAACCCATTAAGATTTTTATCAGACATTACCCTGTTGATTTATTTTCTTGATGAGCCCATTAATCATCTATGTTAAAGGGAATGACTAAGTCAGTGGCTCATAATTATTGATTTTTCAAAATGTATTTCTCTTAAATAGTATAATAGCTGCACACCCGCAATTACAGGCAGCTGGTCGTCGTTTGGCGGATTAAAAATGAATAATGATGAATTATCATATCGCAGACGGGATGGCAGAAACTCTAGTTTATTACTTTAATAATCTGCTAACACCTCAAATTGAAGAGGTAACAGAGAACATTGATTCCGAGGATGTCTGCAGTTTTAGATCTTGTTTTAAACATTGAATTAGGTCTTCAGAGGCACGCTCTGAAGTGATTAATGCGTGAGCAGCTAAATGAATGGAAGAGGCCAACACCGAACCTCAGAAAGTGCAAACACGTAAAAAAAGCTGACATGGTACGCACATAGAAATGGGCAATTATTGTCAGTTTCCAATGAAAACTGGAAGGAACATAAAACAACGACACATCTCCAAATAAAAATCCAGGACAGTGTGTCCAGTTGGACACAGCGTGTCCAGTCGGAGTGACCCCATCATTGGGAAAATAATTAACCCAAAAGAGGACAAGCTAAATATTTCTACAAATACTGCATAGAGTTATTATTGTCAACATACAAAAAGGCTCAAATTGGCTAAATGTTTCTACGAGCCCACTTATCCACTAATACAAATTCTACACATTTGCAGGTAAGACCATGATAAGCCTGAGTGAGCCCACACACAGACGAAATCAGAGGATAAAAAGATCACTTGTAATTTGGACTGAATACAGTATGACATCTCTACTCTCTCATACTCCACGTACACACTATCACAGACAGCACACATTTCCACAGATGTCATTCATGTCCCTGTGAGGACTTTATCACTCACCTAGACAGGCGGAGTTATCGGGGGCCACCTCGTGCCCCTGCGGGCACACACACTGGAAGCTGCCCTCCGTGTTCACACACTCCCCACCGTGGCACAGCATGGGGTTCCTCTCACACTCGTCGATGTCTGATGATGGAGGAAACACACACATGCAGAACGAAAACAGACAAAAGCATGTCAGGGTTCAGTTACACTCAAACCTCTGCAAATGTATTTTCTATCTTTTAGCAATTGCTTATGAAAACCTTAGTTTCCCTCATTTCTGACCAGTTTGAAAAACTTTATGTTTAAGTTCTCTGTAGAACCAGATGCGAAAAGAAGAATTACGTTGTTCCCCACGTTTCTCCTCCATTTTGAACTGCTCGTTTTGCCTTAGCTGGCGAGCAGCTGTTGGTCCTGCCAGTTTTGCTCTAATTAGAGCGTTAGGCCAACGCTGTTATTGAAGCCACTTGAATCGAATCAAAAGGAACCAACGGCGGGCCAGAACCAAAATAGAGCCTGAATCATTTTCGCAGACATCCCAATTGCATTACTTTAGGACTCAGAGAGGCATGTAAAAATCATTTTGCTCGCCAGTTGACTGACTCCACGGGTCAAGCGCCCCATGCAATAACGGACCATTATTTTTTAAAATCGTCATAAAACCGGGCAGTTTTGGGAGGCTCGGTGATGACATGCGGGCAGCCCAGACTGGGCCCTCTCAACGTACTGTGGGACTCGAAACAAAATCATTTAAGTCTCCTTTAGTCTCGGTGAACACAGCCTGTGCAAATTAGATTACATCATCATCCATTTCTAGGTTTAGATCCAGGACTGGCAATTCTGCCAAAGTGCCTTATTGACCAAAGAGGGAGCACAGAGGAGATGGTTGGATGGAGTTTGAGGGGCACCTCCCTGCAGTTGTGGACCTTTATGCTTAGATTAGCCCTCTGCTGTAAGACTCTATCCCTTTCACTCCCAAAGGGAGACAGAAAAAAAAGGACACTTTGTTGTTACCAGGGTTATTTTGGTTTTTTTTTTGTGTGGGTTGTGTGAGATATTTTAGAGCAGTTAAGAAGCCATTTTCACACAGTCCGTTTAAAGCGGGGACCGATGTGCCTCTGTTGCACATCTGTGTTTTGTTTGCAAGCGCAGAGGTGGAATTTTTGGCTCAAAGTTGGTCCGGTTTGTTCTCAAACTCGACCATCGACATACCTGTCTGCCCCTTCAAAATAAGAGCACCGTTACTGTTGTCCACTGGAGGTTCTGACTGCTTTTTAATTTAAATAAATAGAAATGCATGCCTTTAAAATACTATCTATGCATATTAATATTAAAGTATGAGAAGCAGGAGAGGCGTTGGGGTCCAGTTTTGGTCTTTGAGGACTCGTTACTCACCCATGCAGTTTTTCATCATCATGAAGCCGCTCTCGTAGCCTTCGAAGCATTCGCACTCAAAATCTCCCGGTGTGTTGACACACCTTCCCTGTCCGCAAAGATCCGGAGAGATGCGGCACTCGTCAATGTCTACAGAGAGGCATCGCGACAGAGCCACAGGTTAGAGCTGGCCTTTAAACTCCAACCACACACACACAGAGATGACATTGTGTTGTTTTATTGTTTTCTGAGACAAGGTCAGCAGACAAAAGCCAAAAGGCTAAGGCATGAAGTTTAAGTGCAGGGCAACTAAATCCCCAAAACCTTTAACAAAGCTCCTACATGAAAGCCGGTCTATAAAAAAGCTTAAATGGGTCCTCATGCATATTCCTCCTAAATAGACCTAAAATATCTACCCCCTTTTCAGTTTTAAGCCACATTCTGAATCACAAAGACCTCAGGCTGAATCTAACTCTTATGAGCTTAAAAGGTCTCAGGTATCATTTACTTAGCAGAGGCCTATAAAACATTGAATAATAAATCAACTATATTGCCGTTAAAACCTCATGTAGCTCATTTGAACTGAGTGGCACTGTAGCTAACCAGACAATGTGGGACTCGTGCCAAGAGCCAGACTCCCAACACAATGAACGAGATGAATGCAGCTAACAGCTTTACACCGCTATGCTGCAAAACAGTGTTGGCAAGGAGATCCAGTAAAGGGGAACGACGAAGAGAGGTTAAACTTGTAGGCAACCAATGGCGCTCAACATTCAGCCCTCATTCAAATTAAAGGTAGAGGCTGCATGCATGTGAACTATTGATTCCTGAGTCATTTTGAGTTTTTTTTATTATTAAAACATCTCTTAAAGTATCTGTAAAATTCCATTAGTCATTTCTTAGTGGTGCTTTGGTTATATTGTGGATTGTTATTTCACCGGAGTCATAAGTGACCTAAAAATCCTCCAGAAAGAGCTCAAATTAAAAACTCTCGTGTCCATTAATGAATTTAAAGCAACCATGAAGAATGTAGTGATGGAGATATGTGCTTGTTTTTCTTGAGATGCTCAATGTGTCTTAACATACTGCTCTGATTTTATCATGAAAAATGTCATATGTTGTAAATATGTATGAACTTCCTGTGGTTTGGCTGCTACCTTGGCCAGGTCTCAATGGGACTTCCTGGTTAAATAAAGGTTAAATAAAAACATTTTTAAAAACCCCACCACACCGGAACATCTTAAATATTTGGGGAAAAGCTCAATTTCTGCCTGAAGCTCGTGCTGAGCACCTGAACAAAACTCACCGGTGCAGTTCCTTTCGTCGGAGTCCAGAGCGTAGCCGTTGTCGCAGCGACAGCGGAAGCTGCCGATCGTGTTCCTGCACCTCCCGTTGGAGCACAGGGTGTTTATCATCCTGCACTCGTTTATGTCTAACATTTGGAGGAGACGAACACAGACATGGTGAGAGGTCAGTGACGGAACACTTAGACTTAGACTTAGACTGAACTTTATTGATCCCTTGGGAAGACTCCCTCAGGAAATTAAGGTTACCAGAAGATACTGGAGAGGCAGCCGTCTACACAGCGCCAGAATCAAATCTTCAGAACCAAAAGAATACAGAATACATTGGGAAAGCGGTTGCAGGAAGAGGGAAAAAAAAGGCCCAGTGCCACGCCCCCTACAGGGGACGTAACAGTGATTTAAAAAAACACCTCAGTACACTTAAGCACAGATACAGTCAAATCAAGGACACATAGGGAGGGAGGGATGGGGGGATTGGAAGGAAGGGGAAAGGTAACAGCGAGGCAGTGAGTCCAAGGAATGCATGAAGTCTGTACTTGTGTGTGTGTAAGTGTAAGCAAGCTGAAGTCCACATCCACAGGCAGGATGGAATTTGTCCTTGTGATGCCCAAACTCCTGGTCTGGGCTTCCCGCGGACAACTGCATACCTTTGAGGAAGGGTCTCCCGTTGATGAAGTCGCCCCTGTGCGAGAAGCCGGGCCCCCGCGGGCAGAGCTGCTCGAAGTCCGGGCTCCCCCTCTCCGGGCACTCGTCGCATTCGGGCCCCCAGGCCACGCCCACCGAGCAGCAGCAGGCGTCCACGCGGTGCTTCCCCGAGATGGGGGTCCCGCAGCGCTCGTCGTCGTGGCTCAGGTAGCAGTGCTCCGTGCGCAGGTCTGTAAGGCGCACACGGTTTGCATAGATTAGACGAACGAATTTGTCGGGATTTTTACTGTTTAAATCCACATCGTGGAGAACCGACCGATGCACATCCTCCCACTGACGTCCACGGTCATCCCCGGGGGGCACTGGCAGAGGAAGGAGCCCTTAGTGTTGACGCACTTCCCGTTGATGCACACGCCGGGGAACACTTGACACTCGTCCACATCTGGTCAGAGAAAAAGAGCACCGTCGCTAACGGGTCCAGAGCTTTATATAAATCAAATGGCTCCGTGAGTCGAGACGTCCTCACCCTCACAAACGTTTCCTCTGACTCGGGCAAAACCTTTGTCGCAGATTGGATCTGAAAAAAAAAAAGGAGCAGACGCAATATATCAATAGTCGTTAAAAGCATGTGTTGAATTTTGAGATAAAGAAAGTTACAGTCAAAGGGTTTCAGGGGGAATATAATCTATTTTTTATCACCCAAGTCGACAACAAGAATAATCTCTATCATAACTTTAGTTGTGTGAGTCACACATGAGCAAAGCCCTCAGAACAATCTTCTGAATATAGACAGTAATCAAACACGAGGTTTATTTACGGAAAATACAGATTTTTTAAAAAGTGTTGTTAAAAGATACAGATGGAAATCTACTGTAGTCAGCAGATACGACTACTGGTTACTCACAGGAAGTATGAACACGTTAATTATGCTCATTTTGTAGCCACAATCACAACATAAAGGAAGCAAAACAGCCCAAAATGACAGCGCCAATCACCTTTTTCGCACTTGGCACACGGACTGTTCCAGGCTTCTCCCAGCGTGGCGCAGCAGTGGGACTTCAGCGTGGCTCCGTTGATGTTGACCTCACAGCGGTTGTTCACAATCTTCAGCCAGCAGGTGCTCTTAGTCGTCTCTGTTTAATGACAGAAACTAGTCACTGGACATCCGTTCGAACGGGAAGCATATTCTGATTTCTTCTTTTGTAGTGACTAATTGAGCAAGATTGATTCTCAATGGTAAAACTCAATGATCCTTGGGATCAGTAGCATATTTTGCCCAAGAGATAAAAAAAGGAAATCTGAACTACCATGAGATGGCAGAAACATTTACGGTGCAAAATCCCTCCATTTTGATTATGTCATCGGTAAAAGTTTATGTCACAAAGCTGACCATAAGTGTCTCTCAGTTAAGATTCGACCAGCTACCTTAGAGTCGCCATCTTTCCAGAAGATCATCAGCATCACAGTTTTAGACAAGGACTAAATTATTTAAAGATTTGTAAAAAAAAAAATAGCTGTAAAAAACCACTGTGTGCATTAAACTCCAGTTTATAGTGTTCCAAATAAAATTAATCAAAGATGAATGTGGCAGAGAAAGAAAAAAAGAAATACTGGAAAATGGACATCACACCAACAACTTTGTATCATTTTCATATGATCAAGGTGAGTCTGAAGTCTGCTTTTGCTGCTGAACTGGAGCATCCAGTGGTTGGAAAGCCATTTAAAGCAGCACTAGGTGATGATTTTTGTTTTTGTTTTTGGTTCCCGGGCCTGAAATGGCCCTCCGGCGCCCGCTGGCTGACCTAACACAGTTCACGGCCTCGGTTTCCACCCCAACACCACATTGTTTTCCTTTGGGGTTGAAAGACATTTTGCGGACTCCGGGTGGCATCTTTGTGGCCTCATGAACGTGGCAATAAATTCATGGGCATGGCTGTGCGTGAGGAGGGTTCACACAGAGTTTTGTCTTTGTGACGATGGCGTTACATCATACAACAGCACAGGCCACCAAAAGTTCCCCAAATTCTCTAAAAATGTTGTGCAGGCTCTGTCATGAAGTGCTTCTTAATTTAAAAAAAAAGACACTTCCAGCATCTCCGTATTGTTTCATGCTAAATTCCTGCTTTCCCCTTGCTCAGTGTACATTAGATAAACTGTATCATTCAGAGATTTTTAATTAGTTAATTCCCCGAAAAGACTCGAAAAGGGTTTTTAAATGCTTTATAGGTTTCATCTCTATTTCTTTAAACCAATTTTTCCCATTTTAAATTAAATGCCATGAAAATCTTGTCATTAAATAAGTTAAACCTCTCATAGTTAAAGCTTTACTGATGTGATATTGTGAAATATGAACAGCCAAATAATAACTTACCGATGCACTCCAGGCCAGACTTTTCCAGAGTGCTGCCCACCGAACACGTGCACACAAAGGAGCCCTGGCTGTTCACGCACTCTCCGTTTATGCAGGGACTAGACGCACACTCGTTCACATCTGCGGGGCGAACAATAAAACAGACACCGTTTTATTTTCTTCAAACATGTACTTGTGACCGATCCACAGAAGGGAGATTTTCCCCGAACCTTCACAGACGTCTGAATCGGGGTCGAAGCGGAACCCTTTGGGACACTGGCAGGTGAAGCTCCCCGGCGTGTTCCTGCACAGCCCGTTGTCGCACAGCAGCCGGTTCATCAGACACTCGTCGATGTCTGGGGAGGAGCACAGACACTGGGGTGTGGGGATTTTCCTGTGGCATGGCGTATTATTATTATGCAATAATAATAATAATAATACATTTTACTCTTAAAAAGTGCCTTACATGGCACTCAAGGACACTTTACCAAGACGATCATCATTAAAACAACATTGAAACATAAGAAAACATACAAAGTCATAAATACATCATAAATAAAACATCATAAATGAATTAAATAAAAATGGAATGAATAAAACTGTGCAAAATGAGGGTAATGTCAGAGTTAGGGGTGGTGAGGTGGGTAAGAAATGTTAAAAAGGTGGGCTTGGAGTTTAGTTCTGAAAAGGGGGAAAGAGTCGGTATATTGGATGTCAGATGGCAAAGAGTTCCAGAGTGGTGCTGAGGTTAGGGTTAGGGGTCAGGGGTCACGGTGGGATGGAGCGGCTCACCCACCGACACAGTTTTTGCCCGTCAGGTCCACCTCGAAGCCCTCGTTGCAGGAGCATTTGTAGGTCCTCAGCATGTTCTCGCACACTCCGTTTTGGCACACGTCGGGGTCCAGGGCACACTCGTTGATATCTGACGGGACAGAGACAAATCCTCAGAAAAGTGAGGCGAACCGCCCCCCTAAGGTTCGATTGCTTCACATCGTGTGCGCGCTACCTCTTCCATCGCCGGTGATCCCGGTCCCGCTGGGGCACAGAGCCAGGAACTCGGCTGAAAACAGGAACACAGAAATAAAGAGTGTTTCAGCAATAAAAGACACACTAAAAAAAAAAAAGCCTCTCAGAAAAAATGCCACATTTACCCCAAATCAAGAAAAAAGGGCAAAGCCATGGAGATCTAATACCGTGTCATTATCATTTACAGGCCTTCTCCTTTTGCCTGGATGTGTATAAAAACATCTCTTTATGTGGTGGGAGCAGCCCTGACGTCTTTTGATATAGAAACTTTAACTGGTGGGGCTAATGAGAAGTGACTGGATGTGGAGCATGTGGAGACGCTCTGTTCCTCGTCACCGTGGGCGTCCGCGTCAAACAACTCGACTCCCGTGACTGCTCTTCTGTCATTTAATAAGTCTAATCTGCTCCTACAGGTTCTCCACTCGGATTGCCCACAAGGAACAGTGTCCTTTTTTGCAGACATAACAGCTGGTCGTATGGTCTTGTTGTCTTTCTCTCTCCTTTCTTTCTTTTTTTTTTCTTTTTTCTTTTTTCATTTTTTTCTCTCCCCCCTCTCTCCCTTTCTAAAAGATCTCTCTCCTTTCCACCACCCTTCCCTCCCCCCTGTCCCTCTGTCAGGTTCGGCATTATTATTGGACATATGGAAGTTTGGTAACAAAAAAATTGAATAAATAAAGAAGTTTTGGGTAATCAAGGGGGGGGGGTTCTCACTAACAAAGCCTCCCTTGGCAAAGCAATTTTGCTCAGCGTAGCACGGTACGCAGATTACAGTTCTACTGCCATAATGCTGAACAGGACAAGGTAAAAAATAAAAAATAAAAAAATAAAAAAATAAAAAATAAGTCTAATCTGGTATCCCAAGAAAAGACGCAGCGCTCCGTCTCGTGACCCGGGGCCTCGACATGGTCGTTTTCAATTAATAAGAGAAGCAAGTGTCTGCATCTGAGCGGAGGGTGGAGGGATGGGATTGTGCGTACCGGAGTTCTCGGGGGGGCAGGGCTGGCAGGGCTCCCCGTAGGCGTACTCGGTGCTGGCGCAGCAGCACTCGGACTTGGTCACGGCTCCGAACAGCGGCCTGACGCACTGGCCCCGCTTGTAGCCGCCGTAGCAGGAGCTGCGCATGTGCGTGTCTGCGTGGAGACAAAACAAAACAAAAAGCAGCGTGCGTTTGAGAAGCAGAGGCCGGGGGGCTGGACGCAGACCAACACACACAGAGAGGGAGGAGGCAAGAGTCAGAGAGAGTAAGAGAGAGTCAGCGGCTAAGAAAAACGACACTGGCAAAAACAAACGGGGTAATGTCGGGGGGGGGATTTCAGACATTCTCCTGCACTTGTATCATCCCCAAGGATATGCACTGAGAGAGAACAACACCATTTCAACATGTCTGAGACAATGCACAAAGGAGTGGCGTTTTGGTGAAATGCAGGAATGTTGAGAAAAAGGCATAAACAGAAACGCTTTCCAGTTACCAATCCATGAGAGTGGAGCACAGGGAGGCAAATAATTTGGTTGAATCAGAAAACTGTCAGAGGCTGTGACCATCCTCTGGTTTTTCACATTTGCATTTTCTCTTTTATTTTCTGAGCTGCTAAAGTGACTCGAGGGTTAAAGCAAAAGCCTTGTTCAAGTTTCAGCCGAAGAAACTGCCATGGCCCAACCCTGTTTAACGACTAATGAAAAAATGCTGGAAAAGTTTCGGGAGGACGACCAGCAAAGCCTTTGATCCCGACCCCAGATCCAACCATGGAGGCAGCCATCGTGGAATTCTCACGAGCCTGTGATCGTTTGATATGAGGTGAGTGTACTAATGGAAATATATAAAAAACAAAAAGGTGGGCAACCACCCTTTCCCCTGATCTTTCTTTAGGGCAGTAATGTGCTTATGCACACAACTGATAAAGGTCAAATTTGGCATGAAACATGATCAAAAATCTATAATGTTCTATTCTTAAATCCTCCTCTCTGAAAGTACTGGAGCAAACTCTGCACGACCCAATTCACAGATGTGTGGGAAGCATATTCTGGTTTTTGCTGCCACAAAAACTTCTATTTTTTATCATTCTCTATTGATCCTTTTTCTTACCGCTGTATTTTTCTGTAAATCTACCGAAAAAATGGCAAAAAAGAGTCTGTAATTGGTTATTATTAATGTAATTGAGAAGTTTTCCTGTGACTTCATTCAAAAAGATGGACTTCTCCAGTGCTCTGCGTCTCATATAAGACTAACTTGGGTGTTGAAATATGGCAGAACTGATGTGGAAAGGTGGGAAATACCTTCTTCAGCCACTGGAGTTTTATTTACAACAAACTAGGCTTTTATGGAAGTGCTGCCGCCCACGTAGCTTTCTGTTTTTACAGGAAACTTGGGAATATGGAGGGGAAAACAACATTCTGATAGACTTTATGTGGAAACCTTTGTGGGCACAAAGGGGTGCTGCCCTCACAGCAGGTATGTCATCTGGGGGCAAAGACTGTTGATGAAAATGTCAAACCAAAAGAAGAGATTTCTAAGAAAGAAGAAGGATGAGAGGACTGTTTATCGTGGCGTTCAAAATGAAGCGACCCTGAGACAAAAAAAACAACAAAAAACCACCTTTATGTCCACTCACCAACACAGACCCGTCCGTCCAGGCCTACGGCCATCCCGGCCATGCACTCACAGCGGAAGGACCCCTCGGTGTTGACGCAGTGGCCGTTCATGCACATGCCCGGGGTCTCGCACTCATCGATGTCTAGAACGGGACAGAGCAGCAAACGTTTGGTTTCAGACCTGTGACCTGAGGAAGGAAAACATTCCTGTGCAAGTGCAAGGTTTGGGTGTGTGGTAGTGGTCTATGTGAGTGTGTGTGTGTGTGTTGGGGGGGGAACAACCAGAATGAGAAGCGACAATGAGGCCCTCGGGCCCCTTTAGACTACACAATTCATTAGCGACTGTATACACAAGTGCACTTCACCCACACCCTACTTTCCTGTTTATTTATTCCAATGTGACTTAATGAGGCCGGTGTCGCTGAGATCAAAAGTCTGCACATGAAGTCGTCTGGCTGTGAGAGTGGAGAGGTGGAGAATCTTAAAAATGAATTCAAGTGCGTAGAAATCTACCAATCTAATCTATAAGTTTGTTTGTTTTTGTATTTTTTACTTTTCCAGCAGGCCAAATGTTTTCTCTTTGTACTGGACAAGTTTGGTAAAAAAAAAAAAAAGCTGTGTGCTAAAATCTCAAAAAATAGGCGGGCCCAAATTATCAAAACACACCCAGCTGGAGAGTCGGGAGGCTGAGGGATTTTTCCAAGGCTTTTTAGGGGGATTTTTACTCCTTGTGCTCAGACTCACTTAACAAGAGCGCTAACATACCGGAGACGTGTCCACCCATTACGCTTCAGAGGACGTGGAAATCAGAGAATAGGTTACTTCAACCAATCCCGGGAGAAGGAATGCCTCACCAACACACATGCGTCCACTGGTGTCCAGCAGGTATCCCAGCTTGCAAATGCATTTGAAGCTGCCGTCTTCGTTGATACAGAGTCCGTTGAGGCACATGTTCCTGATTAAGCACTCATCCTGGTCTGTGAATGAGAAGAGACTGAATGATTGGCTGGTCGGTTGCAGTGATTTCAGGTGGGTTTTGGTGGTTTGGCCCTCTTAAAAACATTTAGGTAGGTTATTGACAGGCAGGCTGACATTGATTTAATTGTTTAAATTTAAAAAATGAGGCAGTTTTGGTGCCATCTAAAGTCTTATAAAATTGAACAAAATAAACAGACGCCGACAGCTAATAAACAAAGACGAACAATATTGATTCCTTTGGGAATATAAAATGCACATATTTTGCGCTCAATGAGCTGAAACATACAAAGCCACAAGCATGATCATCTAAAAACCCACCAACCAAATTACAGGCCTCCGAAAAAGAATCCATATTAAATCACCACCTACAGCCAATTCACGCACCATTAAACATTAACATTACACATGTTGTGGCTCTCAACAAAAACCACCCCCTTGGATATGTTTTCCCTCCGTAAATGCAGATGTCAGGAGTTAACGGACCTTGACAATTTTTGCCATCTGCTGAAATTTCGAACCCGGCGTTGCAGACGCAGTGGAAGCTGCCCTCGGTGTTTACGCAGCGGCCGTTGTTGCAGATTCGCCCGTTGGCCACACACTCGTCCAGATCTGTCAAAGAAACCAATAAACACGTCCATCCTCTAAAAAAAGAGTGTCTGTGCTTGGCCAGAATTCAAATGGAAAGTTGTAACTAGATTTTTTTAGAACACCAGCTATATCGGCTAAAATGGGGACCGATGTACTCAGGATTATGTTGGAGAAATTTTTTTAATCTGTTTTGGAAAGACATTTTTGATGCACTAAAAGTAATCTTCAAACAGGAAATCCCATTCAATATAGACATTGCCTTATTGGGAGTAACACCTACAACTATTATTACACGAGATGAAAAATATCTTCTGAATATATGAATAATCCTACAATATATGGATTCAGAAGGTCTGGGATATATATACTAAATGGAACAGATAACATATTCTCTGAGACTACAAATACCCATATTCACTAAACGTTGGAGACTTGTCGTACCACTAATAATGCAATGATGTTTTTGTTTGTTTTTTGTTTTTTTCCAACTCTCAAAGTGTGGAACTTTTACCTTTCATACTCTTGAAATTACCCCGTTGTTTGTGTTTTGTTTTTTATGTTTAAAAGTGTAAAAATACACATGTACATTCGTAACACACTGTATTATTTCTGAAAAAATAAAAAAATTGTAAAAAAAAAAGAGCGTCTGTGCAATTGTGTGTGTGGGGGGGGGGTTCTTGAGTGTCACCTCGGCACTCTGTCCTGGTGGCGGTCGTCTGGAAACCAGCAGGACACTGGCAGATGTAAGACCCGGGGGTGTTGACACATTTTCCGTGCGCGCACGGGCCCTTCTCACACTCATCGTCATCTGGAGAGCGAGGAAGAAGAAGTTGTGAAACGTTTTATTCTGACTCGAACTTGATATAAAAAAAGAAAAAAAAGAAAAAAATGTCTTCAGAAACTGACCGATGCACTCGCCCCTCCCGTCCAGCCTGAAGCCCATGTTGCACTCGCAGCGGTAGCCCACGCCCCCCGCCATGGGGACGCAGCGGCCGTTCAGGCACAGGTTGCGATAGGCCTGGCACATGTTGGTGATGTTCTGGGTCTGGATTACGAAGGGACCTGAGAGGAAGGACACAATGTGAATATGTCGGCGATAAAGGATGAGTTGAAAAGACCACCGAAGGAATTTGGTGAACCCTAACTGAAGTATCATGTTCAGAGATCCTTACAGAATGTATAATGGAAGAAAAGGGGCAGGTTTGTCAATTCCCAAGCATGTGGCCTTGTGTCATGAAATTCTCAAAGAGGTTAAACTCTTCTCAATACTTCTGTCTTAATGAACAAAGCTATTTTCAAAAAAAGATGCAATGATGAGAATAAAAGATAGAGGATCTGAATATATAAGATTTGGTATAGAGCCATCTACGAATTAAATGAAAACCCTTTCAAATAGGTACTTTTTTCTGGCCTTTTCTGTCCTGAAAGGGAGCTGGTTACAAATATAAACAGAGCCCGATGGCTAAAGGATCAACTCGGAAAAATACTGCAGACCACAAGTAAACCTCCTGCTCCTTTTACAGGGATTACAGGGAACAATCAGATCTTTAAGGTAAGATGGGACTAAATCAGGGATTTAAATGTCATAAAGAGGATTTTAAATTCTACTCTAAATTCTACCAGAAGCCGGCGTGGAGAAGCTAACACAGAAAAAGTGGGATCTCTCTTGGCATGAGCAGTCAGCACTGGGGGCCACGGCCTTCTGAACCAAGTCAAATCCTTTAACGGAGTTGTTTGGACACTGCTCTGCATCAATATAGCCGAGATGTAAAGAACACACAGAGTTTTTTAAGCTTTGCTTTGGGACAGGATGTTCCTGATTCTGAGAAAAAGTTCTGTGGGCGAAAGAAGGCCACAGTTTAATACGAGAGTTAAAAGACCAATCCTGTTTACAATTACTCCCAAGCACGTCAAAGTCGTCGTGGGGGTAAAACTAATACCATCACGAGAAAGAACGCTGTTAAATAATGTGTTCAGTGCCAACCCCAGATGGGTTTATATATTGAGAATTATAAGTCAATGAAAACTTTGCATCACAGAAACAAGCTTGTAAACCAACAAAGAGCTGGCTGTTATCAGCAGAACAACTGATGTGAATGTCATCTTTCAGAATGACATTTTATTTTCATATGTAAAGAGAACAGAACTAGTCAAAGTTCAGAACAGTGTGAAATGCTATAAATATTCTTCTATGTAAAAAAAAAATTCCCCCTTTCCATTACAACACTGGAATCTGTTAGATAAATATGATTTAATCCAGTCAAATGCAGAATTCTCAGCTGTGGAACTAAATTTTCTTTCCAATTTTCTCATTTTTTGTTATCAGATATACAATGATATATCACACTCAATACAATCCAGATTATGAGTCAATGCTTTTTTTCATTAATAGATCAACAGTGTCAAGACTAGTGTCAATTTAAATGCATATCCATTTATAAGTTTTGTATTTATATGTGCCAACCAGACAGATGCATCTGAGTATGATTTGGGGAGACGCGATCCACAAATGTACATCTAAACGTTTACTTCTAAAGAAAACGTATTCTGCATCATATTCTTTCAGTTTGAGCAACAACTGTCAAAGTTTTCCATTGTTAGCATGTAGCCAATAATAAGGAATTTGTGAGGCTGAGCACTGTCCATCCTATTATGAGTTCAGAACCACTTTGATTCATTTTTAAAAGTGAACAAATGGGAACCAAAGACAGTAGAAAATAAGGATATACCTGAAGGAGGAGGCTGTATGGGTAGCTGTCCCGGAATCTGAATTGGTATTTGACCTGGAATTTGGATGGGAATCTGACCAGGAATCACTCCGGGTCCCACGCCAGGACCTTGGCCAGGATGTGGAATTGGGTAGATGAGCGGTATGTCTGGGCTCCCTGGGACCCGATCGGGTATCACCTCTCTGTGACTATCCAGTATCTGGATGCAGAGTCGCTGGTATTCCTCTGAAACGAGCACGGGACGGTTAAGAAATTGGAGACTCATGAGAAAGAAAGGAACATTTCAAAAGCATCCTTTTGGACACTATTGAGAGGTCAGACATGTGGACATTATTAATCTGACTGTCTTGATCTTTTATCTGTGATGTTTTAGTGTGTAATTTGTTGTGTTGTGTGCAGTCACTGTGTTTTGTGTCAAAGCCTAACTGGGGGGACAGGCATTGTGAATTAGCCTTAGCTAAAATGTTATAGTGTGTGACATGTTTAAATGAAACATACTTGTCCCTATCAAATAAACGAATAAATGAATCAAATAAATCCTTGATGAGGATGGGACTCCACCTGATCCGCGGTGGGGGCACATCTCGGGGGTGGATCCGTCTGACCAGCAGCGCCCGCTGTCGCAGCAGCACTGCATTTTGGTCAAAAGCTGCGAGTTCTGGTTGGCGCAGCGGCCGTTCAGCAGGCTGGCGTAGCAGTACCCGCCACGAGCATCTGTGAGAAAAAGTAAACCGTATGACGTCTGTTTCAGAGTTTCCATCATTCGGAATACGGAGGCCCTTTCCTAATAGGCCGTCGTTTCATATTTATGAGCCGCTTCTCCTTCACGCTACAGTTTCTGGCACGCGTCACGAGCGTGACTCACGCTTAAAGCCGCACCGGTAACATAAATACTTCACGTCTTATTTCTCACCCCGCCGAGCCAATGTGTTCACAGAGAGAGAGCCTCACACGCCACGCCGCTCGTTTAACAAAAACCTCGAGCCGGGTGGAGGTGAAGGAAGTCAAACCGCTAGTAGCCTCGATGCACCACAAACAAGCCTAAAATGTTCGGCACAACAGTTTTTTTCTGGCACAAAGAGCTCAGACATTCCTCCTGCACGAACATGCTCTCCTCGAGAGAGGGTGTGTGTGTGTGTGTGTGTGTGTGTGTGTGTGTGGGGTGTTTGCATAAATCTGTATGTGCGTGCACAGAAGTGTAAGAATGTGCACAAAAATCTAATGGATCACTTTTACCCACATTCTTCCCTGATCTGTTCGGCGTGAAACTGAGCTGGAGCACTGAGGCTTTCTTTTCAGTCTTCTAATTTTCCTTATTCCAAAATGTCCACTGATTTGACTTCATCTCTCTCATCGTGCGGTCCCTTAGGCCGTTTGGAGACACTTCACAAGCAAGCAACTACTGACCTAAATCCTACCAGCTCCATACGATCACTAACAATAAGTACAAAAGCAAATAAAATCCAAATGATTATCCTTTGCAGAAGGCTCACCTATACACCTGGATCCGTCCGCGGAGCTGTAATATCCCTGGGGACATTTACAGAAGTAGCTGCCTACAGTATTGGAGCATTCGCCCAAACCACAAAGACCTGGAATGTTGGAGCACTCATCCAGATCTGAAGAAGAGAAAAGAAGAGGTCTGCACTGCAATCAAACTTTTAAAGGAAAAACAAATAAAGTGAGGAGCAACTTAAAATGCGAAATGTCTTCAACGCTAGAGCACACGTTGGCCACGGATATGGAAATGAGACATGGTCACAGGATATTAAATCCAGCGTCCACTGCAGCTGTTTCTCCGTTAGGACCGTTTTCCATAAAGTGCTCTAAATCTGACACAATGTCCTCTAAGAAATACACTGTAACTTAGACCCGTTTGAAATGTCTTTTACACACTCCAGAAGTTTTCCGGCAATTATTACTGGGCATAAACTTGGACATTTTTTACTCTGCAAATGAGTGCCAGACAACCGGAGTCAAAGTTGGTCTGGAAATTGTCAAATTTGGGTCTTAATGAGCCAGTATTTTTCACAGGCTTACTGTGGGCTTTTCGTTTATTTGCAAGCGGCAAAGAAAGAAAGCTTTTTAAAAGTTTTTTTAATTTTATTTTGGATTGAAATACTGTACACACCCGGTAGTCTCTCGGTGGAGAGAATATGACAAAATGAAAATGTAATAATTGTGAAACTCACTCAGAAGCTTATAGTTAATCCACCATTCAGAGAATTGTCTTTTCTAAACCTATATGACAACATAATCTTCTCTCATTTCCCCAACAACTGATTTATGTGTAGGCCAATAAACGGGGCAGAAAAAGTCAAACATATGGGAGGCGGAAAAGCCTTTCGGGTCAGCACAGCCGAAGAAAAGCGACTGCTGCTTTGCTTTAATTAAACTTATTTGAAGGGAGGAGCAAAAAGTGGCGGTTCATGTGTGGCCTCCTCCCCACAAACTAATAATCAGAGTGCCCCGACTGAGGTGAAGTCGACCGCAAAGAGACGGATGTGGCTTTTAACTCTCACAACTCGTAGGAACTTTTAAAATACTTTTCCCACTACTCTTTCATTCGGGCTGACACTGTTGGTACAGCCTCACCGCAATGGCTGCCGGCTTAATTCTTACCTTCGCATTTCTGCGTGATCTCGTTGAACTTGTGCCCAGCGGGGCATTTGCATTCAAAGGATCCCACCGTGTTGATGCAGTTTCCTCCTTGACAGATGCCTGGGATGGCTTGGCACTCGTCCACATCTGAACATACAGGGGAAGAATGCGGTTTATATCGAAATATGCACACCGACAGCATCCGCACATGCCTGGGCAGAGAGAGCCTGCGTCCATTTTTAAACTCTTACTCCTTCAAACGATGAGCGAAAGGATCTGAAGCAAAGTCTGTTTTAGGAAATGCGCAAAGGTATAAAACGTAGGCGTGCGTAAAACAGAGTTAAACAGAAGGTTAATCGCACGAAACGACTGATTTTTAAGGGGATCCAGAAAGTCAGCATGACGTCAATGATTAATCAGGTTCGAAATCTGATATTTTTGCGAGTTACACTGATGACTTAATGAAATTCATTTAATGAATTTCACCGCCTAAAACAGAGGAAAAAGCGGCGGGAGGCCGTGGCGGCCTCGGAGGACTCCGTGTTCCTCCGGGTTCTGGCTCGGGTCCGCCTCCCCCCGCCGGGTTTTCTGATGTTTTTGGGTCTGGAGCCGGGCCGCCTCGCCAGAAAATGAGCTCTCCCACGTGGTAACCGCCACTGACCCGTGTTACTGCCTCTGACAGTGACGCCGCAGCGGGTGTGTGAGGGGGCATTCCAGGCACACGTGGGAGGCACTGCCACCCACCCCAATTTAACCCAATTAGAACTAATCCTCTGGAGAGGGCACGGCGGGCAGGAGCGAGGCGACGGGGGGAAGGAGTTAAAATAAAAACCAGGGAGGGATAGAAAGCAGCACTTGACTCGCGGAAGGAGAAGAAGAAGAAGAAGAAGAAAGATCTGACAACACTAGACGGGGACTCAGACTTTACCTTGGCAGGCCCCGGTGCGGTGGTTGGGTATGAGCCCTCGCCGGCAGGGGTGAGGCTGCGCCGGGCACATCTCGCAGGGGTGACCCCACGCCCGCCCCACCGTGGCGCAGCAAAGGGTCTTGGTGCACACGATGCCCGTCAGCTGGCCCTGACACATCTGGTTGTTCACCGAGGCGAAGCAGGGCCCGGTGCGGTAGTCTGCCGAGGCAAACCAGGAGCTCGGTTTTTCCCTCTAAACTTAGATCCGTCTCTTCACTTCCAGCACAAACACCAGGAATTGGGTGGATTATAGCATTTGGTGGCCGGCCGAAACGCATAAACACAAGGCTACATCGTTTGTGAAATACTTAATCCAAAATATTGTGAGAGAGAGAGGCCTTTAGACTTCAGACTTTGTAAGAACCTGTCTCCTGAAATGTGTTGTGTGGATCAATATCAGCATAAACCAACAAAAACTCTCAAACTGAGAGTAATTTAAATGGCATCTGCTACACGCTCAGATAGATCACGATGATAGCGCTACATAGTGGACAGGGGAAACCGTCCAAACAGAACAAACCGTCTGAATTTTACTTTTTATTCTTCCCTGTTCTCAGGTGAATTTTACATATGCATGTGTGTCTGGTCGAGTGTGTCTGTGAGGTAAAGAGGAGGTTTGGAAAACATTTTAAAGTATTGTGGGCGACTACGGAGAAAGAAAAGTACACCCAGACAATGAAAAAAGGCTCTGCCACATGTTTGGTGTGATCCCCGACTGTTTGGGGACCTGTGTTGTGCGTATGCAGAAAATGCCGTTTCCTGCTCCTCATCATATCTGAAACAATCTGTAATCTAGGCGAGATATGTCATTATCCCCGGGGCAAACGCAAACTGGCTGGCAGGGCGCGCCTATAGAACGAGGTGATTTCCACACAAGCAGCCTAGAATTAGAATTAAATCGTTTCTTGCACATATTATTGCAGGAGGCAGGTCATTTCATCATGAAGGTTCTCCTCTCCTCCCTTCCAATCTGCTTTAAACCCTCGTTCCCCTGAGCCCAACGCTAGCATGCAGCTATCCCCTCGTGCCGTTTTCTCTCCAAACACCACTCCTTAGTTACAAACTCCCGGCCGGTTCGACGCAATCACGGCCTCTTATCAGGTGAGGGATTAAAAGATGGCAAAACACAGATAGCGACCGGGAGGAGGAGAGAAGGAAAAACACATCACTCCCAAAAGAAAAACTGGACGGGATCCAAAGGCAAAAAATCATTTCCACATTTCACAGCAGACAACAGACAGCGAGAGGAAAGAGAGGGAGAGCAGTTCCAACAGCGCAGTCGTTTAAAACAAACGAGACATTGTGCGTTTCCCGTGTGGACCGGGGCCCGGCCCAGACCCGTCACGTGCACCACAGCCTCCATGCTCTCCCTGCCTCTGGCACCAGCCCTGTGTGAAACAGAACTGGGTCATCTCTCTTTCTCTTTTCTCACTCCCTCCTGCTTAGACCTGCTGCAGACGGAATGCTTTTGATTTCTTTGACTTCTCCCTCCACCGAGAGCTGGAAATGAATAAAGTGAATTTAATAGGGCACAATTTGGCGCAATTATCTGTTTTACTCATTTCCTTACTTGGGATTTTTCTATGGAATAAGGGAAAAAATCTCACTTCTTAATACACTTCGTCAACTTGTTAGATCAAAATAAAAATGATTGGCCTAAGAAATCTCACGGTGACACTTTCCCGACATTTTTTCAGCCACTTGTGGAGCGTTTTTTCCCTGTTACACAATTAAACACACACAAAATGTAGGTTTTCATGTGCACCCTTCTCAGATCTACAGAACAAGGAACCAACTAAATGGTGAGCCATCTTACATCATCACCAGGACAAACAGACACAACCAATAGTCTGAGCCTCAGTGTTTCCTAAATACTGCAGAACATAACTAAACTAAGATTCTTTTCCCAGCTTCAGCTCCGGTTTCAGAGAGTCGGTTTACGGAGAGAGCGCACGTCTAAACAACAAACAGAACTAAAAAGGGTTTTAAGGAAGGGTTTTAAAGACTGGTGATGACATGGAGCATGTGAAACAAGCAGTCAAAACCAAAACCAGCAGAACATTTCCACTTCGGGCTGGCAGATTAAACTTTGAGGCTCTCATGTGTAACCGACCAACGGATCCATTCCCCAAACCTCGTGGGTGGCTAACAATCGGGGAAAGTCATGGAGATATCATTTGGATACCAGCCCCTACTCAACTACTGACAGAAGACACCTCCAGGTTATCTGTCCAAGTCACGATTTTTAAAAATCTTCCTGTTTGTTTAATTAGATTAGATATTTCATTAGATAAGTTCTGTCTTATGTCCAAGATCTTTTTAACTTTGTGCACTCCAAAAAGTAGAAAAATAGTACTGAATTAATTCATTTGTGCACTTAAACTGGACATATTCTTGCCTTTTGATTATCTTTGTGTGGACAAAGGTTGAAAACAGCCAGTGGTGGTCAAGCTTTACCAAAATAATCAGAACTATATTCACTCTTAGCCAGTTTGGAGATGAAGTGAGAACACTAGGGCCAAGGCTTGGCATCCCTCGTTGGAAACAGATTTGTACGTTTTGAACCAGCACCATGAGAATTAGGGCTGACTGACGCAGAGTAGATCACTGTTACCAAAGGGAGAAGTAGAAAAAAAACCACAGACCCCAAACCTTTGAAGACACTTCGATTTTGCAGGTGAAATGACAGTTTTTACTTAAGACGAGGTCTCAGGAAAGCTGATGGTGGTTTTTGTTTCTCAGAAACCAAACACTTCCACTCAAGGTTTCCCAATGAAAGACGCTGGCTTGAAGTAGAATATTTACTCTGTAATGAATCTTCTTATTTTCACAACAGCAAGTTGACGGGGCTCCGCGGTCTTTTATACACCACTTGATGAACCAGATTTGGCAGAAGCTCTTAGGTGTCGTCACATAAGCATCAAATCAAATATAAATAAACACCCAAAAATGCACCCTTTGAGTTCAGCTTTAATGTCATATAAAGCTAATCTCTCTTAATGACAAACAGCAGCTCCAATAATTCTGTAAAGCTAAATCTGACAGAGGAGGGACTCCCCCCCCCCTGTTCGAAGAAATGCCCAGCGTCCAATCATCTGTTTGGAGTCTTTTCAAGAAGTTGAGCTTTAGAGTGGGCAAATTTCACTTTTTTTTCCAAATTTGGCCCAATTTTCCGAAGTCTCACTGAGATGTGTGAGACAGGCATTGGTCAAAATACCCGTTGATTTAAGCACAGTGCTTCTTGTCTTAGCCCTGTTTTCACAGCTGTCTGTTAAGAGTCTGTTCGGGGAGGTTAGAAACTTTGGAAAGGCCTCGGCCCCGCCCACGCCCCGCCCCTTCGATGAGGTCAGCAGCCACTCGCCTCCTACCCGGGACAAGCAAGTTGTGGAAAAAAGTTTGATGCAGTTTCTTAACTTTTACAGGAACGTTCCCCTCAAATGTACTCGGCCCACTATGCTGTGACCTCATCTGAGGCTTGTGCTAGTTTTAGGATGCATGCTCCTTAGCACAGCTGTCTTCATCAGGGTGGATGACAGGGGTTGAGGCTTAGCAAAGGATTTAAATGGAATATGACTAATTTTAAGTGAAAATGAGAATGATTCATTGATGGATAAACTTTCATACATCCATCCATCGCTTATTCTTTGTAGGGTCATATCTCAGCACAAACACTCCCTCTTACTGGCCATTTAGAGAGAGCCTAACGTGAATGTTTTTGGGCTGTGCGAGATAGTTGGAGTACCCAGAGGAAACAAACACATCCACGGGGACCACATGCAAACCCCACACAGAAAGGCCTCCGGCCAGGATTTGAACCTGGAACCCCTAATCGCCTCACCACCATACAGCCCCAGCTTCCTCCCACAGTCCTAAAGCCTCCAGCACTCCCTCAACTCTGCTAGGAATAAACAGTATAGACAACGAATGGATGGATGGGACTATATCAAATTCCAAGATTGAGTTTTTGGAAACTCTTACACTTGCCGGACCTCAAAGTTGCTACAAAAGTATGAGGGAACTTTTAATGAAGTTCCTTCAAACAGAAAAAACAAAAAACAACTTTTCCTTCCGACTTCTATAGAGGTTTCAGATGAACTAAATATGGTTTCCTGACAAACTGAAACTCCTTCGTCCATCTCAGGACGATTCAAAAAACGGTTGCAAACGAGCAGAACAAGAGATTAAACTTTAAAAAGAAAAAGATCTTCATCCTACATGGGCTCTGAAGCCTTGGGGGCAAACATTGCTGCTGTCAAGAACAAAAAGAAAGCACATTTTTCCATGATATGTTTAGGACAGACCAGTTTCCACTTGTGTTTACTACGAGAATAAAAATTAAGCTAAAGGCCCAGATCAGCAGATCAAGGTTTCACCAGGTCAAAGTTGAGGTTTTGTTACTGTCCCGATGACACACATCAGATATAAAAAAAACTCAAAGCGCAGGACAGCAAGAAACAAAAGTCAAACATCTGAGTTTCGAGCAAAGAAAATACAAGCACAGCTCTCAAACAGTCAGCTGAAGTAAACAGGGAGAGGCAGACAGCTGTCGGCTGAAAAATTGTGTCATTTCATTCGTCATCTTTCTGTCTCTGTGTGCTGCATACAGCTGGGGTATCCACCCATGTCCTGTACATCTGGGAGCAATCGCACGTGTTCACACACTAAAAAACGCACACACACACACACACACACACACAAGGAATGTCAGCTCATTTCAGCCCAAATCTGTCCAGAAATGATCTCAAAGCTGAGTGAAACTTTTAGAGAAATGCTCCTCCGCCGTTTGCTGCTTTGCCGCTCCACTTTTGGAAAGATGGGTCCTCGCAGTGGACGAGTTTGTGTTTGTGTGGAGGTGCGGTTTGCTGGAGGGAAGCCCGCTGGGAAGTGGGTCAAAAGAGTTTCCTCGTGAGTGACTCCAGAATGTATTTACAGCAAAACAAAAAAATCTTTTCGGGTTTTTCCATATTGTTGATGATGATGATGCTTATTAAAGACATCTTGCGTGGGTCTGCGAGAAAACTGTTTCTACCCGTGTGTGCGTGTGTGTGTCTGTGTGTGTGTTGTGTGTGTGCAGGGTTGTGTGTGAGTTGTGCTTGCATGGACGTGGGATGCGGTCATATATCTGGGTGGGATCTTCCCTATTGGGAGGTCATGAGGGTTTCTTCATTCTCCCAGAACTAACAAGTTAAACGTGCCCCGGAGCGCACGTTGACAGAAGCGCACGCACGTTTATCGATCCACTGAGATCTGGGGCAGCTGCCGATAGGGGGGAAAAAAAAGTCCATTAGCAGACGAGAGAATCCCTCAGCTGACTGACCGACTTCCCTTCTGCTGCTACAGTTGCAGGTTTTTGTTTTTTCTTTCTTCTTCTTCTTTTTTCCTGACTCCGTAGCTCACGTGTTGCCACGTTTTCAGGCCAGTCTTTCACCACCGTCCCAAGTGCACTCAGCGGCGTCACGGCGCAAGCGGGATTTTTATTGCTCTGTTGTTAAATGACTCTGCAGAAGGAAGAGGAAGCCCTGAACGCAGCAGAAAAAAAACGAGCCCGCCCGCATTCTCACAAGCTTCGCATTCCAGCCTTAAATCACATTTGGAGCCAACAAAGAGCACGTTGAAGAGGCCAGTCTGCAGCGTCCGGCGGTGGCATCACCGGTCAGCAGATCACCAGTCACTCGGGCAGCTGACAGCCCTCCGGCAGGATTGCGTTAAGAGCCCAGGAACCAGGAGAATTTATCTAAGTTTAAGAAAAGCCTCAGATTCCTGAGTGGGGAGACCACTTCTCCCCCGTTCAGATCACAAGGTTGTAGAGAGCCTGTGTTCTTGTTAAGTGATAAGATCGAGCCATAATGGGGCACGGTTCTGTTAATTGCATTAAAAAGTGAGTGGGGTGCGCAAACACATGTGTTTTATGCATGTGCTAGTGTTTATGTGAAAGCACAATGACTTTCCCCGGGGAGGCCATGGATCCCAGCCAAGGAAATTCCAGTGAAAGTAACTTAGCCCAAAAACGCAACTGGATCCGGGGTCCTATATTCCCCACCTCTCGTCAAATAACCGCATGTAAAAGGAATGAACAATAAAATATGGGTGGGTTGAAAATGCATATCGCCGATCGATGTGTTTAAAGCCGTTTCGAGTGGAAAAGTAAGACTCATTTAGAATTAAACTCGGGGGTGGGCGAAGGTGCTGCTGCTGTTTCATCAGCCAAGTAAACGCCAAATGGAAAGGACCTGGCAGCATTACTCCAGCCTGAAATGATTTCACTATCAAATTACATTACAAACAAGACTCAACTTTGTCTATGAGCTTCCTGCCGCTTCTCGAAGATGCTCGAGCTAAACCTTTGAAAAATTATCGATGAATCGGCCACGAAATCCCGGAGATTGTCGAACCAGGTGGCGCAATCCCGGAGCCTGGAGCTAATGCGGTTTCACCATTGATATATACACTGGCAACCTCAGTCTGCTTCTGTGATACATCAGCGTATTCGTCATGTTGGTTGGGATAAGACAGGCTATTGTAATTAACACAAGTGGAAAAGAAGTTTCCCTTTACAGAGCAGAAAATAGGTTTTCGGCTAATTTGTTTCTAACCAAACAGGTCAGCTGTAGGAGATTAGTAGCTTGTAGTTTATTGGCACTGAAAAGTGCAAAACCAGCTGTATGGCAAATATTAATTTGGCTTACATTTCCCTAGACATCACATAAAGTTAATTCAGCCAATTAAATGTACTTCTAATGGTCTCCTTTTTATCTTCAACATTTGACACTTTGCTTTATTTGGCCTTCTTTTTGTGCCTTATATCAGAAACACGCGACTCCCTATTTTTTAGATGCTAAAAAACATACAATACATTCATAAATGCAGCTATCACTCGTAAAAAAAAATCGAATCGAATCAGCGAATTCAATGGAAATGATTAAACTATGTCATAACCTTTATACTACTACTGAAAACTATTTTCCTGACGTGTTGGAGCCCAAATAACACAAAATGGAGCTTCAACAAGAAAATGGCAATGTGTAGAGATCGTAGCACTAAAACAACACAAATACGCAAAGCACAAATGTTCACCTCTGAGCAGGTGGAACCACACAACCAACAGCCAAATAACCAAAACCTCCATTTAAGCTGTTAGTTAACCCGATGAGCACCATTAAATGCCACAGATATTCAACCAGACTGAAAACACAAAGATGACATTCCTTTACCAGCACGTCCGTCTCAGACTTCATAACAACATAACCTGCAGAACGTTTGACGTTCGAATTAAACTCAGCGCCATGTTATGGAAACCCGCCTGCTAGCACAACAACCAGCCCTCCGGTTTCCCTCAGACTCGTATCAATAGAGCAGAAAAAGGGCGGCTGACAGCGAGTGGCCTGTTTGCATTCTCCTCACCTTTCATGGCTACGTTTTTCAAACCAGATGTGGTATTTGCATTGCTTCCTTCACCAAAAGAACGGGGGACTCTTGAGATTCATTATGTCCCCTGAAAACTATGAACATCCCGCAGATAATATGTGCTGGAAAAAAAAAAAAAAACATTCAATTTGAATTCCTCACTAGTTATGCACCATCTGGCCAAACGTCTACAGGAAACAGCAGATACCAAAGTATGTGTTCTACCAGATAAGGCCTGCCACCAAACCATTAGGCCACCAGATAGCACTTATTAGCTGTGGGGTTTTTTTGGATCCAACCAAAGTAAACCGAGGGACGAGTCCCCCAGCGGACTCGCCTGACGGGTCTCTGAGACCTGACCTTGTTAAAATGGATGTTACCAATTAGGAGCTCTGCTGTCAATCTAAATATTAGTGTTACGAGGCCAAGGCTTTGACCTATGAGGGTCAGCGCTGCCACAGACACTCCAAAAAATACACAAAGCACAAGCCGGAGCATGTGCACATGTTTGTTAAAACACAGATTGCCTACTTGCTTGGTGTATGAGGATGGGAAGTCTTAAGCTAGCAAACAGCATACACTAAGAGGGGCAACCCCAAGCTTGGGCATAGTAGCAGCCCAGGGCCCGGTGGGGGGGGGGGTGTGCAGGTGTGTGGTGCTGGTTACCTCTTTCGCACTGCGCCCCGGTGAAGCCGTACGTGCACACACATCTGTTGGGAGCCACGCATCTTCCTCCGTTGAGACAGCCATTTTCGCAAACCGCTGGGGATAAAAAAAAAAAAAAAAGAGAGACCCGCAAACCATGAGACGACTCAAGGGCCGTTAGCCAGAGTGAGGTGTTTAAATCTGCCTCTACGACGCTCACAGTTTTTCTTTTTCACATGATACCACTTTGATAGCTGGAAAAAAACTCCACTCAATAAATAGGATAAGTCGAAAAAGTCTTGATTTAATCAGGATGCTGTTTTGTAGACTGTGAATCGTGTTTAACTCATAATCTTTTCAATCATACGGGCATTTTCCTGAAAATAAGTTCATCTTAAAAATCTAAAGAAATGCCAATCAGGAAATCAACTGAAAGCATAAAAGTGACCCATTGGATCTGTTTGATTCTATTTTAAACATCACAACAACAGAAACTGCGCCGGTCTGCAGTATTCAGATAATACTTAACTAATCCAGACATAATTGGAAAATGTAATGTTGTTTTATCTAATTTAGAAAAATCGAATCACCAAAAAAAAAGAATATATTCCTGTCAGTATCAGTAAATTTAGGAGTGGAGCTCGAACAGTTGGTTATGCCAAGTCCTAATGCCACACTCATGTTGCTGAAGCCCCCCATGCCCGTTTGATTCTTGCTCACGTAAAGCGAATTTTCGATAAAGCTGGTCTCACTCGAGTTTTATTTCTTTTGTCAAATAGCTAAAAATAGTGTGCGTCCAACCGAAAAAACAAAGCTTCTGGTAGTCAAACTCTGCTGTAATAACATGTTGATTTTAAAGCATCCTCAGGAAAAAAAAGGATCCAAATCCAAAGATGTTCACAGAAACAACTTTCTGTTCACAGAGACTAATTTCAACCTTTAAGCTTTTTCTGACAGACGAATCGTTTGACGCAGCGTCGACAGCGGAGAATTTGTTTTTGAATTTCATGAGAAAAAAGCGAATTAACTGAGTCCTGGCGATGCTTACGTTGTCCACAGTGGTTTCCCACGTAGCCCTTCTGGCACTGACAGTGGTCCTCCGCACACGTCCCCCCGTTCATACACCGAATGTTACAGTGCTGGACTGTTGACAGAAACACGCAAACACACCCACAATTGTTGAGTTAAGTCTGAGTGCTGAAACATATTCCGTGGAAGATCTTTACAACATCAACAGCTCACGCTGAAACATCTCTTAACAGGTCAAACTTGGATGTAATTTCCTCAAAATTTACGGCGAGCAAACAGATTAGCGCACGGGTTTGAAGTGCTGCGAGCTGTGAGAGAGAAACATAGAGGAGATGTTGACTGTGGACATCTTCCAGAGAGCACACACACACACACACACACACACACACTCACACACTCAACCCACGAGATTGGCCGCTGTTTGCAAAAACGAGATTGCAACATATACTGCATCAGTTGCAACAATCTTGGGGCACTTTCAAATGATGCTTTCAGGATTTGCTAGCTATCTTTTCATCATCATGCTAGTTAGCCCGCAATGATCCTGAAACTGTAAAGAAAAGCTACAGAGAAAAGGAAAGCAAGGCACAAGGCCTTTTTAAAGGCCTTTTTAAACCTAAAACAGTATCCGTTGACATTATTATTTCTTCATCATTCCTCTGAGAAAAATCAGAAGACACGTTGCATCTATCTTTGCCTGTCATGTGGTGTAATGCTTTTTCAAATATTAGAGTCTTTTTTATAAAAAAAAAATGTAAAGATGAAGGTTGGGTGTGCGCCAAGCTCTTCAAAATAAAACATTCCGTTTCAACATACACCTCCATTTGCATGAATCATGTGTATCTGCTGGCTGGATGCCAGTTAACCCCTAACCCCAGAGATGTATATAACCAGAAACATGCAAGAATTTTAAGGAGTCGGAGAGAGGAGGTGCTGAACGACCTGACTTGGATCCGCAGGATGAGGAAACCAGGCCGTTGGGGCAGGTGCACATGTTGGGTCTGGAGCAGAAACCATCTCCACATGAACTCCTGCAGATCGCTGCGTATGGGAACATGACACCAGGTCAAACAACATCAAAATGTCCTCTGTCAGGTGCAAAAAAAATGAAATAACAGTGCTAGGCTTCAGCTCTTGTGCAAGGAACTTTCTTTAGGAAATTCATGTATGCATCTGCAATGGGGATATTCAGTTTCTGCTAAGAAAGTGATGAAACTCAGACTATGATCCCAACCTCAAACTGAACCTAATCTGTATTTCTTAAACCTAAAAAAAAAAGGGGACAACTTTTCTCTATTTCTCAGCTTTTCTAATCTTAGCAATAGCACTGCGCTACTTTAAACGTTGAGCTTAGTCTCTATGTACGTATACCAGGAAGTTAAAGTCGGCAATCTGAGTTTTTTTTCTCCTTTGTTCTCTTTCCCACAGACTGTTGTTGGCATGGTCCACTGCCCCTTGCTCCCGTCAGGTAAAGTCCAGCCGCTGACCCCTTATTCCTGATTCCCACTGCTAAACAATGTCATTAGAGCGGCAGCCGGCATCCGGCCAGCCGGAGGGCAGTCACACCAGCCTACAGCTTGTCAGACGCTCAGAGTACACCTGAGAGAAAAAACGCTCCCGCCAAGCAGCTTAACCGAGTTCCAAAGTCATTTCCAGGTCTTTTTTTTTTTGCTGTGACAGTTGGTTAACATCTCCATCGCACCGTTAATAAACAATGACTGTCCGAGAGGGTTAAACACTCCGAAAACAACTGATCTCCACCATGTTCCAATCCCTAAAGGCTCACGATCAGAAGACATATCAAGAAGTTTATGTAAAGTGGCTTAGAAGTACCTCAGATTATGTTTTTTGTGTAAAAGACTTCTGCATTAACCTGCATGGCTGATACACTAAGGCTTCAAGACTCAATGAAGGCTTCAAACCCCTCTGATTCTACAGATTTACTGGGCTTTTTTAAGAAATAATTTGAAGGGAAAACAACACTACATAAACCTTGGTGGAAGTGTCCGATAAATCTCACCCAGCGGCGATTAATAGCCCGGAGTTTTGTTTGTTTGTTTTGTTTAGCCTGTGATCCATCATTCCATCTGAACGGCCCCCTTAAATGTATTGACTGTTTTTACTATCCCTGGTGAGTTGCACTTATGTTGATTTATTCCCCAACAGAGAACAGCGCTTCGACAAACATGCAAGCGAATGGCTCCAATTATAGAACGGGACCGGGCTCAGTTTTTCCTGTCCCGAAAGCAAGACTTTTAAGAATAATGGAGGTGATACTCACGGACAATGCACTGGTTTCCTCCGGTGAGGGTCTTCCAGCCCGGGCAGCAGTAGGCGTTGTTCCTGGAGCCGCACACGTTCGGCCTGCGGAGGACGGAGCGTCGAGGGGTCAGAGGTCACGCCACATAGTCATCCGGTGGATTAAAGCTGTACTCACCGTCGATCTGCATCGCGAGGACCTGGTTTTTAAGCGGGGTTCGTGAAGCACTAATGAGACGTCGGTAGTCGATGGCTAGAGTTTGGCTCCGCTAATGAGGCGTGTCTGATGCAATCCTTTGAAAGGCCGCGAACATTTCCATGACTGATTTGAAACAAAAAAGCTAGCTTGCGCGGTCTGTACCGTCACCAGTAGCCGTCCCAAGTGGAAACAAAACCCTCCGGGACGAGAATTAAACAAATACTGCGTCCGGACAGTCGCAAAGGCAAAGCGGAGGTGGTTGTAGCCCTCCCAGTTTGGAGTAAACCCTACTGACAAACCCAACTGAGAACTGGTGAAACCGGGCCTGACCATCATTCATTGTCTAACATTAAAGCTCAGGAGAAGCTTCCAAATGCGATGCAGTCAAAATAATTGCGTCTAGGGTTTGTTCAAAGCTCTATACAAGAGTCGAGGTTCAAGTTGTTTTAGGGGCAGAACTTTGCTCCTCTGGCCCCGCCGCGAGTCGCAGTTAGCTTAGCTCTGCTAACAGAATTTCCCTTTTATTTCCAGAGCCTAGAGCACTCTGACAGATGTCAACTACTGGTAAGACAATAACTGCTTGTCATTGCTTTACGTAACAGCACTTGAAAAAGACCACAATACCCCTTTAAAGTGCTTTAAAGTCTTTTCGACAAACAGCCTCGGTTCTCCACCGATTACCACATCACATATAGATGGGCGATAAATCTCATGCTACTCAGCGCACAGTGCAACAAACAGCACACCGCTCAGGCCCCTTCACCTCGTCTCCATCTTTGTCAAATTCCAGTCAGAAAACACGAGGGCCAACTAAAAAAAAAATGCCATGATCGTGTTTTTTCTCAGCCTCCGAAAAAGCCGGAAGGTCAGATTTCTCCAAACATCTTGTGCAAGAGCTTTACAGTACAACATTTGTCATCTTCTTTGCCAGAGGTTCTCAGGCTGTTTTTGCTTGTGACCACATGAACAGTAAAACCGGAGAGATTTTCCACTCTTTTTTATTTCTGCGCAGGGACCACTGTAAAAACTCAAGGACTGAAAGTTACTGTAAATCATTTTTACAAAATCCCCCAGTAACCCGCCAGAATCGAGAGGATACTGAGGGATGCCTGATTTTTGTCACACACACACACGTCTACGCGGACACGATGCCTGCAGGTGTGTCTGAATAAATTCCACACGTCGAGCACCTGAGATGTCCTACAGGTCTGAATCGAATCTCCGTACGTTAGCTCGTGATCGCCCACCGCGTCCAGCCCGATCCACAGGTCAGCGCATAACTCGGACCAGATCCGCCAGGGTGAATAATGAAGCCACTTGGGCGTTTGAAACAGCGGTAAGTCGGCGTGACGCAGTGTGCAGCCTGTGTGCACTTCCTGCCTCTGGACCCAGATGTTGTGACGGATTAACATAAAGCACGTCAAATAAAAATACCTCGGCTGAACGCTCATTGAGCCGTCTACGACCCCTCATCAGCTGTTTGCTGTCATCACTGGACACAGACATTCTTTCTTTTCTTCGCAGTTTTCCATCTTTCTTCTCTCTCTCTTACACCACACACACACACACACACATACACACACACAGCCTCTCCAGCAGTGACCCACTGTGTACAGCTGCAGATGTGATTTATCCACAATTGGGGTGTGGTGTATTTGGCTAAACCGAGGATTAGGCTGTTAGACTCTTTCTCTCTCTCTCCACCCCCCCCCCCCACCACCACCACCACCACCACCACCACCCCCCTTCTCTGCCACAGCCACACAAGACCAATGGCCTCCTTTGTTTGGATGTAATTTATTATTGCAGTCAGCAGGAATGTGGTATTCTTGCCAGTATTTAATTGCTAAACTTTGCTCCAAACTTCCCATCCCACACAATGTCACTCACGGGTCTCAGTCCATCTTAATAAAAAGACACACACACACAGACACAAACACACACACACATGTTTTTGACCTTCAGTGCTCCTGAGAAGACCAGAGAAGCAAAGACACCTGTTGCAAGGCCAAATTAATTGGGAAAAAAATCGCGTAAAGGTGCTCTTTGAACATGTTTAAATCTATAGGAAAGCTTGGAGATGGTACAAAATCGACTAAATGAATACAGAAATGAACCCAAAAAAAAAAAAGAAAAAGGTCGTTCTGAATTTGGACAGATAATCATAATCACTGGCACATTACCCTCTGAGGACGTCCGTGCCCCCCCTCCTCTTCGCCCTGCTGGCTCTGGAGTCCGTCTGCTTGGTGACCAGCTCGCTGGTCTCGGTCTCCAGCAGCTCCGCGGCGGCAGAGAGCGACAGCAGGGCCAGCAGAGCCCCGGCCAACTGCAGCAGCCGTGCTCCGCGCTCACCGTCCCGCATATCCACCCGCATGTGTGTGCACCCCCGGTGCTCGAGAGAATTAAAAAAAAAAACCCTCACTGGTTTTCCCAGCCCCGACGGAGCTGCGCAGTCTGGAGTCTAAAGCTGGGAAACGATTATGAACAGAAAGAAAGAGAAAAACACTTTAAAAAAAGGGGGGTAAGGCTAATGAAAACTCTTCTGCTTTCACTTACATGCACTAATAGTCTACTTGTGTTAAAGAAAACTATCGGTTCGCTGGCGCAGACGCACGCTGCGTAAAAAGGAAACGTAAGCTGAGTCTGTACTTTTACCTTGTCTCCCGAGTAGGAGATTCGCCTGGGACCCGACTCAGGACCGCTTCACTTTTCCTTGCAGGTACAGCTGACAAAACGTTTGGAAGCAAAGCTGCGGAGGAGAGGAAAAGTCACTCAAACCTTTCGCTGGGCTGCTATAAATAGATGCGCATCGTAACTTGCGGAGTCTACTGGTGCGCATCCAGTTGAGTGTTGATTCTGCACAGATAAGTTAGAGGAACTGATGCATTCCAGAGGATGAGAATGGCACGACTCACAGTGTGTCTCCCTCTCTGCAGAGCTCTTTCCTCATCCCTCCTCAGCTCAACTTTCCCCAAAACTTTTTTTTTTCTCCTTTTGTGCGCTGTTCTCGCGATACAAAAAGCTCCGGTTAAAAAACGCACTCAATGCCCTGAACTAGTTTAATGAGGAATATTGTACTGAATGGTTCATCTTAAACTAAACTCTAATGTGGCTGCTTGATATTTGAAGGTGGTGCAGCTACATAAGTTAAAATTGAATGTAACAGCAGCTCATGTGTCAAAGAAATAATTTAAGTAAAACTATATATAGATGGATTTCAAGTAAAAAATCTTAAAAAATCTTCCTTTTCCATTTCTTTCTATTAAACAAAAATTCAAAGTGACAATAGATGTCAATGATAACTACTCTACAACTTGCATTACTGTACAGGGAAGAGTATTTCTGGTGACATATACATGAAACAGAGGGAGTGGTTCATTGAAATATATTCTAACAGACATGGAATACAGTATGTAAAAACCACGTACTGTTACTGAAACTTCATATTTGGAATGAACACCTTTATCCACCAAATAAGTCTTGTCATTTCAGTAAAAGGAATAGTTCTCCATGGTTTTTGAAAGACCTCAAGGGGAGGATCCATTCCTCTATCAGACCGATTGCCACCGATATCCACTTCTTGTGTCATTTGGCATCTCTCAGTCTTTTCTTCCTGTTTCCCTTCCTCAAGAATGCCTTTTTGACAGCTTACCATCTTCTGATAAGTCTCTGGCCAACAGCAAAGAATAGAAGGAGCAGCTGAAGGTCCAAATGCATCTTGGTCTTGTTTTTTATATTTTATTTGCTTGTAACATGCTACTTAGAGTTACAGTTTAAATTAGATCCTTGTACAATTTTATGTCATGCAAGAGTGGTGTGTTTCTTATGCTTGAATGTTCACTTGATCAGTGTTAATAATCTTGAAGAAAGAACAGACTCTTCTGAAAATGATCAGGTACAAGGCCCGCTCTGAAAAACAAGTGGAAAAGCAGCCAGTGTCCAAAGAAAAGCGTCTGCAATCCTGGAAAAAAAGGGGTCATGTTTTAAACTCATTGGCCACAAATTATGTGTGTCAGAGATTTAACTTGAGATACTTCAAGTTCCAGTTGTTCGAGCCTGAACGTTACACATGCTTCCGTTCCCACCGCGCCAGTTTTTATCTCGGTGAATAAAAAATTCCACAGCCTTTTCTATATATAGTCGCTGTCCGGCAAACACTCAGTGTTTGCATACAGTGATTTGAGGAATTTTGTCCAGCGCGGTGATAGTTTTCACACACACACTGCCTCCTGTCTCTTGCCACACCCTGCAAACAAAGTCTGACTGAGGTCTGTTATCGCTCCAAAACCCAGCAGCATCCATTTTTCTCTCTGTTCGCTTTTTCCTAAAGGTTTTCCCTGTCCTCCTCTCTACCCTCCACCTCTTCTCCCCCCACACATTCAGACACAACCCCGACTTACACTTAAACTCTACGGTCACTTAGGCTAGATTTGATAGTTTTACCCAACAGGAACATCTAGACAAAATGTCCAGTGTTTGTCGATACACGTATTTGTGAAGTGTTCGAGCGTATGTCCATTTTTTCTTTGAAATTGAATTGTTCGAACTGACTCTGGCACTCAGGTCCAGGCATGAAATCCCCCCCCCGTGGCCTTATGCCGACGACCCAATTCGGATGTCTGCCCACTACCTCCAACTCAGTCTCAACAATACCATGCTGCTTTTTTCTGTATGGAGCTCTGCCCCCCTGTCCGGAGCTCCACCGCCCAGAGCCCCTGCGTGTTTGCGCCGTCTCCAAACAAACTATTTTTACTTTTTAGTGCGCGGACCAGGTCGGGTTTGATGCAGCCCTCTCACAGCCACTCCCCCCGAACGTCAACCCCTGGAGGGGCAGATGCTCCACCGCTCCACCCTTTCGCAAACTCACATCTCCTGTGACTCATCACCTCGGCGTTTATGGCTTGAAATGCTAGATCTTCCAGATTTAAAGAGATTTTATCCCATGAGTCAAGGAAAAAAATTCAACGATTTTCACCGAAACAGGTGCTTTTCTTAACATATTTTGTGAATATTAGGAGATTTTATATATATAGATAGATAGATAGATAGATAGATAGATAGATAGATAGATAGATA